CCCAATTCAAAGCACTATTAGACATTTATTTATGCGAATCCTCGCGCTGGCGAGCATACTGCCCCGCGCTGAGAACATAAAGAGCAGTGCTACACCCTTTTTTCACTTGTGCCTTTCAGGTGAACGACAGCCACTGACCGACAAGAACAAAACCGACCCGGGAAACGTGGGCAAAAGCCTCGATCCTGTGTATCACTCCGTGAATCCGTGAATCCGTGAGCATAATATTATCAGTACTGAAAGTTTATCAAATTCTGATCCCTCATTATTCTGGACAGTAGGCGAGCTTTCAAAAAGGTGTTGCGCCGAAGTTAGCTGGGCAAATTCATTCAATTAGTTAAATTTGAGGGGTTTTACGAATGTGAACGCTAACGCGCTGTTTTTCTGGGTGAATTTGTAATGAGTGTTCTGTGGGCATTAGCTCAGTTGTAAAGAAAACCGCGGAATGCTACAATATGCTAAGGTTTGATCTTGTGCTGTATCTTATAAACAGGTAATGAACGAAAAGAACAAAACCGATTCGTGAAATTTGGGTGAAGGCCTGGATCCTGTGTATCATTCCGTGAATCCGTGATAAATGCGAATCCTGGCCGATGACCTTGAAATTTCGCGGCGGATATAGACGCTGCGAGGCATTGGTCGAAAGGCTCAAAAGGCGTTCTCCGTTCTACGGATGAACCCGTGCATTTTCCTCTGTATTACTCGCATGGATTTCCAAATACTCTATCGGGTCTACGTCAGGCGGCTTCTTCAATATGCCAACCACGCCGTCCACTCAGGACGCACCCTTCATTGAGCATTTCCAACCGCCTGACCAAAGCAGTCGTGGCGGATCTCTGAAGCTTATCTTTCTCAGCTTCAGAACTTCATCCAGTTTGCTGCATCCACCTACAGTGACCCGGCGCAAACGCAGCTGCTCACTGAGGTGCGGTTCACTGGAGCCCTTTAAAGGGCTGAACCAAGCCCCACACCGTAGGTATCGCGAGCCGTTACATCAGGTACTCGAAAGGTAAAATTTGGAACATCTGAGTTAATTGTGATCAGCTTGAAGTACACGACGGAAGTGGCAACTAGGACGCCTGTTTCGGAGGTACAGCATATTTCGCAGAAAGGAAAACAAAATTTCAGTGAGGGATGCCCGTTAGCCAATTTGGCAGAGTACGGATGTCGGAAGCTGCAACTTCGATCAGGTCTGTTCAGTTTCATGAGGGATAATTTGGATCTATCCTACTAGGGAGTTGTTAAGATACGGGTATATGGATTAGCTGCAATGGACGACTAAGGGTGTGAACGAAAAGCTGTAAAGGTGAATAATACTCCCCGATTGCCTTGGAAGTTGTATTATTTTTTATTTTAATGTGAAAAATGAGGTCAGTGCACACATGAGGTCACGCTTGCTAGTTTGAGACATCTATGTCGTCAAAGTGGTATGTCCCTGAATCTCAAGGATATGTGTATCAGGCTTCAGTACGGGCTATTTTGTTGTATACCTGTGAGACTTTGTCTGTTGGAGCGGCGGAACTGAGACGTCTTCAGATTTTCCACCACCGTTGTCTCAAAACCATCGCTCGTGTGGGTTGATGTCGGCGAACCCATAACGGGGCTGTTGGAAGGCAGGCTTTCGGTAGTGCAACAGGGAATTCCACTAAAGGATATGTGTACAACCAGAAGCTACGTCGGTTAGGCCATGTATTGCGTATACCAAGCCGTCGTTTGTCGAAGGGTACTGTTTTCCATGCCTCGACCATATCGCATAATGCGATGACGCTGACGGTCAGATTATGTCTACGCTTGGGCAACCTGGCAGTATTTCAGCCCTCGTGCTTCCCTCGGGTTGCATGACAGCTAGGCATCGAAAGGGTGTTACAGCTGAACGATTTTCAATTTTTTATGGCTGACCTTTTCCAACTCATCCTTCCTTGAAGAAGGCCGGACCGCTTTTTCCAAAAACGTTAAGTGCTGACTGCCCATAGGAACCACCTTATTGCCTTTACATTCCTATCAAATCTTTGCCTGCAGGACGTTTCGTTTTGCAGTTATTCGTAATACACTATGTTCGCTGCCTTTCGGATGGCCGTTCTTCTTTGACCTTCCCGGCCTGCGACATTATTACAGCACCTGATCAGCATTATCAATGTGGTAGCTCTTGATCAAGCCTTGGAGGACTGTCTTGGTTGCACCACGCGGCGACTTGGAGGCTGGATTTCAGACAGAAAAATATGCTTCTCCGGGGTAACACCGCAAGTGCTTTTTAGTAAGGTTTCTGACTTCTGACATTTTAACCGGGTCTGATCGTACTTCGTACTTGTAGATTATTGGCTGCAAATGTGGAAGAATTTCCGTTTGTTGGTGGCCTTGTTGAGCTTTTTTATCTGCATCGTTTTGCCAACAATAGGTAACCACCGGGAAGGACGATAGATAGAATGTCTGAGTCACGAAATCACTCCGGACTTCCGTGGAGAAACTTACAAACATCGATAATGAGGCGTTACAGCGTCAGTTTTTGGACTTCCAGTTGTCAACCATTCCAAAAGTGAAAAATCTGCAGGATAGGATGGCAGTCTCCCTGAGGTGTAAAAGTGTTGCCTCTCCGCAACCCTCCCAAGTTGCACGTTGTGTTCCGTTTGGTAGACGGAGTCTATCGTTTGTGACTGGTATCCCGATTTTGCCCCAAGTTTCCGAGAAAGAAAGACGGAACAACATCCATAAACTATCGGAGAACCGGTCTCGTGAACGTTGCCCGGAGAATCTTTGCTTCTGTGCCCAAAAGTTTTTTGGAAAGCACGGGACTCTCGAATGCGACCCAACCGAGTGTTCTTCGTCCTGTGAAGTGCTAATGAACCAGACATCCACCCTACTTCTAATTTTGAAACATCACACTAAATTCAAACAACAAACCATTACTTTATTGGATTTCGCACCACGTTCGATTCTGCCCAGCATCAGTGATTGCCGACTGTCTTTCAGCCAAACTCACTGATTTATTCAGGGTTATAAAATGTCAGCGAAGGCTCGGCTTTGAAATTACACTGAATGGACTTTTAAGTTTGATTTCAGACGAAGACCTGGAACTTTATAATTGACTGGACAACACAAAAAGCGCTAGAGGGATACTCTGACGTCCAGCTAAACCAAGACATTTGGATTTCAGACTCCAAGTATGCTCATGACATTGTCCCGCTTTAAAAAGATACTGGTCCTTAAATCTTTCCTGATCATGACTCATCAGACTGAGGATCAGCGTCAATCAGACAAAATTCTTCACTCAACTAAGTACTTAACTGAGAGTCTTTCGCGTAGAGTATTAAATCGAACGCGTCACTGCATTCCACTACTCGAGTTTTATCGTTCAATCCAATAGACAAGCTAAAAAAGATATTGACCCGTGTATCGATACAGCGGGTTACGCCTTTATGCAACATATAAAGACCTTCGGGAGAACTGAAATCATTTTATGCGTTTGAGCGTAGCGGCGACGCACCCACTTCCTACTTACAGCTATGAAACTTGATATAAGACACAAACTCGATCGTTAGTGTCTACTGTCCATTCTGAACATGCGATCGCTCGACAAAATATCCAGTTCAACGGTCAACTAACAAGGCTGTAACATCTCACGCCCCAGGCAACCTCTGCTACCTTTCGTGGGGAAAGGCCACGATTCAACAACGAGAACTGAGGGTGACTACCATCGCTGCTCCGGGGTGTTCTTACCCCCTGGCTCGTGTCTACCAGATTCCCATTGCACATGATTAGAAATCTACCTGACACAGCAAGTAACCGATCAATTAGCGAGCATATTGAAGCTGCTCAGCCTTGCTACTCAAGTTGAGTGGAATGAGAGTGAGAATCTGTTTGAATAGGTTTGCAAAGGATGGCGGGTCATCCCCGCTGACTCCGTCCCATTCTAACTTAATACCTGACTGTGTTTATTTTGATGCTCTCGGGAAATGTTTGCACATTGCTCCTTATCATTTTCTGTGGAAACATAGGGCGTTTTTATAGTGAGGTGTTACTTACACTTGACTAGGGTATCCTTTCTCAGTGATTGTATGAAGTTAAGTTTCAACATCCGCTATTGTTTTCCTCTTCTTGTCAGTGCTGACGATTTGAAAAGGCACACTCTGCTGCTTTCCGACATCTTGCCAACTGTTACCGGGTCTTGAACTTGGTTCTTCCGGTGTGTGGCCAGCCTGCGCAGTATCGCACACTAGGAGCTAAGGCTATCAGCCTGATATCACGGTGGCTCCCACAGATATCACTTTCCTACACGGTCCGAAGCATGGAAGACAACTTCATCACAAGGGCACAAGCCACGTGGGCCCCATGGTTCCCACTTTTTGTGATTACTAACTCACGTCACAATTCGGTTTTCATTGTGTTCACACTAGTCACGTTCCACTCATGTTCACTCACCGTTTCGGTTTTGCTTAGTTGAGTACTGATGGTTTCTACCAACTGTTTGTATGTGGCTTGATTACTCAGTTGGAAAAGGATGAGACCGCATATCCCCTAAAAATTCCCCATTTGCCTAGTTTTCCTTATCCGCCAGCACTATTTGTTATCGCGTTAGCGTGTGGTGGTTCTCGCCCTACTAACATTTCAAATGATGACATGGAAGCAGCCGGAACCGCTGAATCCGACTACGTAGACTCTACTTCACAAAATAAAGTGAACTGAGCTAAACTCAAGTAAACCGTGTTCGGTTTGCTAAAAACACATGTGTAGCGGTTGTTAGGTGGATGGATAAAATGTACCGTGCGATTGATTGGCGACACAAGCACCTTTCTGGACAGGTGGTTGTCACTTCATCCTTCCAGATTACTCAGGATTATTTCTGCCTCAGTTAGCTTTTGTCTATGTGGATATAGTGAGCTTCCGACCACGTCATGACCCATCACCATCGACAGTCACGGCCACATCCATGATAAACCAAGGAGTCAATTATCTTTCATATTCAACTGGTATGTTTGCACATTTAGTTTATTGTGTCACTGGGACGGAAATTCACTGTCAGAAAGTGGACTCGGTTTTTATTTCACGCAAAACGAGTTTATTTATGATGCCTACGTATCCACACACTAATGAGAGGTGGGATTACTTAGATACATTACCAACATCCCGTTGACAGCTAGCTGCGCAATCAGTCATGTATTTTCTGTTTTCAATTACAGGTTCTTACTACCCCTTGATTAACGATTGATCATTAACTAGCTTGAAGCTTCTTCACGATACACCATGTCAGATGGCGTTTCGATAAGTCGTTTAAGCGTGGTAAGTCCCCAATAGTCTCTCATGTTCTACTCTATTTCCTTTATTTTCCAAAGTCTAAGGGTAGAGCCAACTTACCTTAGTAGCCCTGAACAGGTGGATGATAATGGGTACCAAGACGGATTCACGCAGTTTCCCGAACCGACATTCTAACCTGTTATTTTTGCTTCACCCTTCCGTAATTTACGGCTAATAATTCCCGTTATCTATTTTCTTACTTCTCAATCATGCATCCACCCTAGTGTCTCTTTTGTCTGTCTTTCTAATGGGATAGTTGAGGCTGCATTGGTCAGAGGCTGAAAACGTGTCGATTTTCGCAGAGAAGCTTCTGTTCCACACCCCGTAGCTAAGCAGGTTTTAGGCATTCATTAACTACTCTTAGAGAAGCTGATGTCACGCCTACGCCACAGGTGACGTAGGTTCGCACAAGCTGCTCTGGCTTTCCCAATCCGGATGGTAATTTCATCGTTCGCCAGACCACCGGGACTGACACAGCTGCCCAGGTAAACAAATTTGTCTACTACCTCAATCAGCTTCTCTGTCAAGGGTCGAGTTTACAATGCTGCGGTGCACTCCATATTACTATATGGATCAGAAACGTGGCCGCTGCGCGCCGAGGACGTCAAAAGACTTTCAGTGTTTGACCATCGGTGTCTTCGGAGCATTGCCCGAATCTGGTGGGAACACCGGATCAGTAATTCTGAGGTACGTCGAATGGTATTCGGGAGAAATAACTCACCCTCGATAGATGAACTGATCACACTGCACAGGTTGCGTTGGCTTGGCCACGTGCTGCGTATGCCAGTCGACCGACTTCCTCGAAGGGCTCTTTTCGCCCAACCATGTGAAGGGTGGAAGAGAGCCAGAGGCGGTCAAACAATGACTTGGCAGCGAAGTATGAAGGCCATTACCAGCAAACTCAGCTGCGCTGGTCACTGCCGTCTTCCTGGATGGGGACCCCGAGACGGGCCACATCAATGGCTAGAGACATTATCAGACATGGCCCAGTCGCGCCCTCAATGGCGCTCATGCATCAAAGCTATTGCCTTCAATGCATAGCTCCTTTTCCACCCACCCCCGCTTGACAACCCACTGACAGTGCTGGATTTATGCACCAATTTACCAGCTCGCGCGTGCAATGCGCAGCTACCTACCCCCTCCCCCAAATCATCGGTGAACGAAACTGTGGCAGCTACAACCAGTGTACGACCAGTACGCGGTTCTTACAGCTGACAATGATGGTGATAATGAACTACTCTTAGATGACAGATTCCCCCAGTCGTGACCACTGTCCAACTCGACACATCCGACGCCAGGTAAAACTGGGTCTCCTCCCAGGCTGAGAACCTTGTTGGGTCCAGAAGCAGGAAGCAGAGGATGCTGGGGATGTCCGATGGTTCCGCTAGGTTCTTTTGACAGGTCTTCAGGAAGCTTTTGCCAGTGAAACAATCAGTGACTACCATGGCATTCCTATATCCAAGAAAAATGAATGTCTAAGCTTCTGGGCAGAGTAATTCGAGCAATAATTCGGTCAGTCATCTGATGCTTCTCTGCAGGCCGTCACCCTTTGACTGAAACATGGACTCTGACTATGGGCACCCCTTCAATTTCAGAAGCGTCTTAGTGTATATTTCTACTCAAGCGTCACCCTGTTCCTTATCCAGAAATCCTTCCACCTGCTCTGTTCACGGACTGCAGAGGACCCCCAATTCACTGTCTCTCTAAACTATTCTGCGTCTACTTGGGATAAAGAGGTCTCCCCAGGCAAGTGGAGTGTGTCGATAATAGTGCTTATCTTCAACAAATGGTACCCACTATGAATATAGTAACCGAGAAGTTTCAATTTGATCTCGTTGTGGTAAGGCTTCTTAGTGACTGTTTTTTTTGTTAAGGTAGTACGCTGGACCTTAACCCGTAAGCATCAAGTGGGATTTCGACTGAGTTAAGGCCGAATTGACCACATGTTCACATTTAACGGGTATTAGAGCCGTGTATATGTATGGATGACCCTCGGTTTTGGTGTACCTTGACTTCAGGTGTGCGTTCGATTCTGTAGAGAAGTCACTGACTCTTCTTCAACCTGGAATGCTTTGGGCGTTCATGAGCATAGTCCAATCCTTATATTCCCACACTTCCGGGCTTGATAACTTATAAATCTTTCTAAAGACCTCCCCACGAAAGTGGCGTCCGCAAAAAGTGCCCATTTCCTCTCTTTCGTTTAATTTCTGCATTCGTGAGCCATGCGTTGGCGTTCCTCTGAAACCCCGGCGTTCAGCTAGTTGCTGGTGAGAACCTGGAGTGCGCAGACGACGTCGTCATGATCTCTGAAGGCGCTGTTGAATAAGCTGACCATCATACCATCTTTCGGCAACCAGCTTGCACCTTCAAAGTTCAATGTCACGTTTCAGAACGTGCAGTCTCTAAACACATTCCGTACAACCTACGTTCAAAGTTTACTAGAACCATTCGTCGCTTAGTGATTTTCAGCTACCATATCTGTTCCTTGACTACTTTTTTTCCGTCTTCCGAGATGCATCTAAGAGTTGGGTAGATTTTACTGGGCTGTGAGTCGGAAGCCCATAGTTTATTTCATCCCTTATAAGTTCCGATGGAGTCTAAGTAAAGTTTTGGTTACTCCAAATCCTAGAGCTGGAACTATCTGTGCATTTTTCCATGAGAAACTATTCACTTTGTACGAATAAATATGTGGGAAAAATTCAGCTCAGTAACATCGTTCGTGATTCTAGCTGTAAGAGATGTTCGCAGTGGGATTTTACCAGCTTACGTGCGCCACGAATAGTAATCAGTCTGTGAGGTGGACGGTAGAGTGCCGTGTCATTTGTCGCTTTTTCGGTGGCTTCCACTGATTCCGTGTTCCAGCCCACTCATCTGTCCTCTTAACCTTAGACCCATTGTTTATCCATTTAGGTTTTCCTGCGAAGGACGAGATCATAAATGTGTCGCATGGTCTGAACAGTAAAACGCCAGTTATTTTCAAGGAATGCGGTCATCCCACCGTCAAAGCACTGTTAGGGTTTTCTCTGCCATTGGACACAAAGCAGCCTTTCGTAGAGTCCACTATCCAACTGTTGACCTAGTTGATACTTTTGACTTTCCCAAAATCCCACGCAAACCCGTATCTGCTAACGTGAATTGAAGTTAACTACAGTTGTCACCAAGATATTCACATTCTCCGATTCCTGGAGTCGACAGTGTTGGTAGATCCCCTTTCAGGGACCGTGGTTGTGTGGCTCAGATCTTCACTTTTCTTCAGCGTTTGGTACACATCTATTCAGTAGTGTACACATCCGACAAGGAGGAACTTTTCTGGGTATATTTTTCGGAAAGGCTTAGCGTAAGCTTCTACTCCATTTGGTTCAGTGTTCTAGCTAATTATTCGTAGTGAACACGTGTCTGTGTGCTATACTTGTTTCAACGCGTAGAACGGAAACAGTATTCTTTTTTCGTGCTCCTTTTTCGCGAATTTGTGATGGGCTGTGGGTTTATTTATCCTGGGCTACTGTTGAATTGCTGTATATCCAATGCGTTTATTTGAACATATAGACTAATAGTTTTTAAAGCGAATCTCTTTAACTTGTTTGTAAACTCATTCTAGGTAAAATGTCTTGGACCTCGTCTCGTACCTTTTTTCAAAACATTCGCCCTATTTTACGTCATCTATCCGGAGCATGAGACGTCCGTCGGATACGCCTTTTTAAAGTGTGCACCGATCCTGTGCCTCATCGGATTCGTGCTCATGTACGGCTTGCGAATACCGCAAAAGGAAGCCTACGCTATGAAGGTTTTATTGGGATTAGCTTTCTCTTGTATTGGAGATGCATGTCTTGAGTTTGGACGCAACGGATTGAAATTGGGCATGGGTTTCTTCGCAATGGCCCATCTTCTTTACGTAGCAGCATTTGGATTTCGTCCGCGCGCCGTACAGCTTCTAATTCCCTTACTATGTGCCCTCGGCGTAGTACTGTCTTACTGTTTCAGTCAACTCACAATCGACTTCAAAGTATTCTGCGCCATATATGGGACTATTCTTAGCCTGATGATATGGCGTGCAGGTGCGCAACTGTTCACTCGTGATGGATTGCTCATTCCCTGGACATCAATTTCACGTGCTCTTGGCGCAGCGCTTTTCGGACTCTCCGACACGCTTCTTGCCTTCGAACTTTTCCGTGGACCGGGAACAAAGCTGTCTTTCCTCATTCTTCCGACTTATTATGCTGCTCAGATGTGCATCACTGTTTCTGTTGTTGACCGGCAACTCGTTTCCCTCAAAGCAGGAGCTACGCCCAATCAGAGCTAATCTGCGTTATAAACCACAAAACAACTTTCCTCTGGCAACCCTGGTGGTTCGTTAGCTTCTCATCCTATTCGGTTTTAATTACCATAACTCTCCATTATCCTTCATCCTTGTGATGTTTAATTATTATTGAGTTGATACGACTGTTTCTTCGTGCTGATTTATTGCATGCTGTTTGCTTGTTGTTTACTGTTTGTGTGGTTAATTCCAATTCAGCTGGAAAATCGGGCCCTTGTGCAGCTACCCAGAAATTTTGCATTAGAGCTTTGCTGCGCGGAAAGTTCAACGGTTCGGTGATCGGGATGGTTTATTGGTTAGGGCGACAGTTGTCAACCAAGAACTCCATCATTCTAACCCACCCCCGACTTTAAGATCGTTTCTATTGTATCTTTGTGTCACCACTGACATTATCCCAGTGATGACACTTTGAGTTGCCCGGCGGCTCTGCACCGAAATGTGCAGCAGCTGATTGCCATTCTTACAAGGAAGAAATGTACTGACATGTAGTTTTCTCAGTAACTTCGAAAATAAATGTAGCACGAAGAAGTAGCTCGTGATGTCAAGTCAAATCAACAGGCAACAATGCTGTTTTCCCTTTAACGTGAACTGAGTAACGCTCCTTTGCGTTTTTCCGCAAACTGAAGGTTGTGTCCTTTGGAGATTCTCTCGGACGGACAAGTTCTTTACCTCTAGGGCGTAAGCTGCCAATTAATTCTGGTGGTAATCCGTGTTATTGATGATCTCGTGTCTCGTTCTTGTTCTCAACGCCGCAGAAACTAAATCCGCGTACAATGTGTCTCGCTTTGGTTGATGAAATTTGTTTTGAAAAGCGACCTGGTTGATCCCTACTAAGTGGGTATTTTTGTACTCGGACTGCACAACTTTCAACTGCTTACGAGGATGCTCATTCCACCACTTACTCCACTGAACGAGTATACGGCGCAAAACTATTTCTATGGCAAGTTTAGCGTATAGAGAAGAACTTATCGAGTAAACCAGTTTATTTCAGTACTCTGTAGCCATTCTTTGAGAATAATCATCACAGGTTACCTCGTCAAGTGTTTGCATACATTCCAGTTCAGAGTCAAATAAGCTTACTGACGGATTATAGACAAGCAACTAGACACAGATAGGTGAAATCCTCACGAAGACCAAATTTCATCACATTTGTGGCTGGACTGATTAGCCAGAATTGTAAACAGCATTCCAATTCTAATTTGGAAGTTGGTTATATGAAACCGACTGACGTCGTGACACGACAGTTGAATTCATGTGTGATGACCCCTCTTTCATCGGTCTCACTCGTAATCTATGTTCCTTATCCGAAAAAGCACTCATCAGTGAAATTGGGCAAAAAAAACAATGGGTAATGGGAAAAAAAAAAAAAATGGGTAATTAAACCAACACCTCTGAAATGATAGCTGTAACAAAAATCGATCAACAACAAGCAATCCATAGAGAATGGGGTTGATGCAGTAAAGGTCAATATCAGTGATATTGCTCTTTTCTACGTTTACTTATCACGAAACAGGACGTGTTTTGCTGTGTCAAAGCCATAAGGTAAACTCTGTGGTCAGCTTTTTACGTGGTCTTCCTGTCTCAATTTGGTTGAAACAGTTCTGAATCTCCTAGAGCTATGGTTTTACCAGGCTGTCCAAGCCTAGAAGAAATGTCTGGATTATTCGTCAGTAGCGTGTAACTTAGCCCGAGCCATCGGGGATGGCTTCCTATTCTTATGAAAGGATTGCGATTGTGGAATTTGTCAACAGGTGACTTATTGTCAGTAGTGTGAAGGGAAATTTGGGTGACTTATGATGTACTAATAATAAAAAAACAAACACAGACAGTGAGAAAGCGGGAGTTTCAGAGGGGTTTGGTAAACAACCGGTGGATTTATTGGAGTCTCATTCTTTTTTCGGCATATGGGTTCATTGGCACTTGCAAACTAGACGACACTGTCGATGCTTGAACTTGCGGACCTGTCTGTAACGAAATGATCGTGTGCAAGTGGACGTTGCATATTGGTCTTACTTGCTTTAATTTATTGATTGTGCTCCAGCTCACTTTGTGTTTTTGGTTGAAAGCTGCGTGGTTTCAATCTTCTTGTTATGCTCATGGTCCGCCCGAGTTGTTTCCTACGGTTGCATGCTTTCTAGTTGGAATAATAAATGCAGTTGTCCTCTTCTGTGCCGATCACTCATCGGAAGAGACTGTTTGGCTTGGTTCCCTGAAGCCTTTTTTGACGGTTACAAACCATTCAGGANTCGACGCAAGAGGCTGTTTGTCTTGGTTCCCTGAAGCCTTTTTTGACGGTTACAAACCATTCAGGAGAGACCGAGTTCGGTCATCCCCTTTAGTCGTTCTTTCTAGAATTAGAAAACTGTAACTAGTAGCTTTGGGCAACTAGCCCTCAATTACCTAGTCCCTTGGTCGGCATTAGATCTACTGCTTCTGAGTAATTTCGAAATTGATTGATTCAGTTGAGCAAACTTTCCTGTATGCTAGGTGGACTGAACCAGTGATTGGAATGTGGGCCCCAGGTCTAAAAACAAACTGCTGTAATTTCGATTTCCGACCCAATTTGTCTGTCGTTTGAGTGACATCCATATTTTTCCATCTAAAAAACTATATTATTCTGTCAACGATGACATTTGTCGTCAGGATGTTACTAATGCAACGTACGTTTCACTCGGTTTGATGGTTGTCAGTAGAATTTGGCTTACGTAACTTAGCGACATGTTACGAGAAAAACCGGTCTCATTTTGTGTACGTGCCACGACTGTCTCACCTAAGTTACCATTACAATAGTCCAAAAATGGCATGAATGTAGGCCCCTGAACAGGCCTTTAGACTCAAACACCCATACGGACCGAAGAAATCCGCCAGTCAGTCTGCTTCACCAGCCTACGCTGAATGGGACCGTCGACATCATGGTGAACAACCAAATGACAGGGCAGGGAGATCTGCCTAACTGGCAACGAAATCGAGTCATCACATTGTCACGTAATCAACCGATACCACCCTGACGAGTTGATCGCTCTGTTTGTTGTGTGAGAGAAGTTGCTCGCGTCACACTGTCACATGGTTTATCTTACGTCAGCTCTGCATTCTTTCTCACTTTAGTTGCGCCACTGTTTCGCATACTGTTAAGGCGAGTTCATTTAAGTTCGGTGCATATCTTCCTGAGTTCATCCGTTCGCAATTCAACCTGTTTTGGTCCCCATAGTAACCGTGCTTCAGGCTATGGTACCGCTGTGAAAGAAAAGTGAAGTCTGTTTTGATTTGTCCTATTGACCAGGATAATGTTAGTCGATTGTAGAGAATTTTATTCGCTTGCTTCGTCATCCTAAGGATGACATCGTTAACCCTAAGGGTACTGGAGTGCCGCCCAATTCCACCTTGATAATATGTTAATACGTGGCTCCGGGTATCAGTAGCATGATGTTATCCTGGAACAGATCAAGCTGAAACTTATGGGAATTGACTAATGACGCCGGTAAACGAGTAGCTGTCGCCAGTGACCAGTGTTATGGCAGCGTACTCAGGCCGACTGATGGCTTGCAACAGGCCTCCGCACGCTCACTCACCGATCTTATTCTCTGAGGCTGTTATTGGCGCCAAGGTCACGCGTGCAGCATCACATTCGGCTCAGCACAAATTATCTGCGTGCTTGTTCAGTAAACTTGAATGAAACATTTGTAAATCTCAGAAGTGCTGATCTGTCCATTGTTTTTATGTGCAGGCTTACGTGTACGAGTGACTTGCAAAATTCGTTAGAATTAGAGGTAAACTGACAGGCTTTGTGTCTCCTTTAGTCCTCGGTATCTCCAGGATCCATCTAAGTAAAAAAAAAACTATCCAATTTTCTGGTGTCTCTTTCAAAATAAACAGTTGTTAGGTTCTTAAATTCCTTCCTGGATCACATTTGCAAAACACGAATAAACGGGTTATTATACTGCTTGTTTCCATCAGCTGAATGGATTGGAAGACGTTGGCCCAAACGTCATCATAATTGCTTCAACTCGTTTACGACTTACTTTATTGCGTGTCTATAAAACGAAGGAAATAGAACTAGAGTCACTGAGCGGTTATCAACGGTCTCATTGTTGCACTACCCTTTTTCCTCTCTAGATGTGCTGTAGACGGTTTGAGTCTTGTGTGCACCGACTTGTGTGACCCGACTGTACCTGTCGTGCCAGCGGGTGATTTCTGTGCTGGATGATGGAGCCTGCTGTCTTGTAGTTTTCATCTGCTCATACTAATCTGTTTGTAGCACTGAGCGGTGACAATTGGAATACTGGATAGTGGCAAATAAGACTAGTTGGGGCAAGAATAAATATTATCAGGCGCAATTTACTGCACCTGAGATTGTATTGATACGATCAGTTTTGAGTAGTGAAAGTACCAAAGTGGCTCTTCTTTGTCAAACATTCGCCGTGCCATCCTTATCCAGGTTCTACTCTTTCTCTCGGTGGGTTCATTGTCTCCCTCTTTAGTCTTAGTGCCTCAGTTGTTAGTGAGTAAATGAAAGGATCTTGAAGATTTGTGTTCAAATCATCCACACTCCTTGACACATCTAATCTGTTCACACTTTCGTTTACTTGGCGTCTATGGGATGAAATTCAGCGTGATAGCTATTGTTATTAGCAAGCGCTTGTGGTTATCTAAGTTTTCTCCCGGATATTAGTTGGGAATCCACTTTTGTGGCGGATTACGGGAGTCCAAAATGGCTTTTCGAATAGAACCTTGCTCTGGTGACTGACACATTCACCTCAATAATTAATTTTGTAGAACGTTTTGAGCCACGAAACGCTTCCCACAAGCACACATCTTTTTCTTTGAATTGGCTTATATCTATTGCACAAACGCTTGAAACTTGCAGGCCAACCTACACGCACTCCCGACTGGTGGAGTAAACTCGAAAGTGAAGAAACCTTTCACTCGATACTCCGATCGTCTTTTACCGATTCCTTCGGCGCAGCTAAATCAGTACCTTGATGCAGAATGGGGATTTCTGAAGGAGCGCTTGTGTCAGGTTCTCTCGAGTGGCGATGTAATATGTCAGCTACCTGTGATTCTAGACTCCATCCACCGGTAAGTTCTCGAGTTCTTGACTGCATTCAACATGTTGCCATGTGTTGTTTCACCAAAACAACAGTTCTTCAATATCTTTTTTGTGTTGCACCAGCGCATATGCTGGACGCTCGCGTTGATTAGTATTGTTCTTCTGGGCCGTCAGCACAGTCCCTTCTTTAGTGGCTGTGTAAGTCGTAAGCCTCGCACAGGTGAACCTTGTTCAGCACCTCTTACAGGCAGCAGTATTGCGGTACCACTCGTAACTCCAAACTCTGAATGGCGTATTCACTCGTTTACTCTGATTCTCAAGCAAGCAAGACCCTATCACGCCATAAGCAGGTTTTACTGTGGTACCGTACTACAGTAGCTGGTAACCTGATGTTACCAATAGCAACGGACTGTGTGACGGGTCAGCTACATGTGGGACCGCAGCCTTAGACCATTCGGCAACAGATGATTGTTCGGTATATTCGAAATAGATTATAGTCTTTCTCTACAGACTAGATGTGCTACTGACAATTGTGATAAGAACAAAACGGGGAAGGAGTGAGCCGTGAAATTTGGCCAGCTGGTTTGAATGCATTTAGGTAGAATGATGGTATATGACTTCGTTCCATATTTTGTGTATGACTGTAAACTAATGAACAAATTTCCGGCAAGAGTGCCGTTTACTCATGTTCTTCGTTGCATTTCATATGCCCGTCGCATAGATCGCCGTATTCACGCGTTTTTGAGATTTTTTCTGGATTCTTGCCTGCCGTGGCCGGTGAAACAAGTTAATTGATTACAAACGGTAAATTGTTAAGGGCCTCCGATGTTGGCCAAAATGTCAACAATGTCACACAAACAATGTGATGCCAGATCGAACTGGAACGACTGATATTCTGACGGACCACTATATCTATTCACGTCTGATTTGTAATAGTATTTATGTTATTTTGTCTCAATGAACCGGGCTTCTCAAGTAGGTAGTGTATTTAGGCATCCTGTAAACACCTTGCCCTTTTAAGGAAGCACTTTTTGGTGGGTTCCTCAATCATTTCATGACGAGAATCTGTTCATATAGTCCGGGAGACATTCGCCGGTACCAAGCTTTTGTTCTTGATCCACCGAAAACTTTTTCCGAACAGTACCATTCCGTGATCGACAAGTACGTAGCAGATGCTGGAAATCTCGCCCAGTCTTCAATAAATGTTCATGCTTGTTTTATGAGAATGCGTGCTTTTTTGACCTGGTTATATTCTGATTGTCTCCATTGGTTGTCCCTCATGTGTATGTGACTATGGTTGGGTGGTCTTCCCCCTTTAGTGATCATTCAAAGCAGTTTACAGGGCCTACTCCATTATTGTGATAGGACAGACTTGGGAGCTTTCTTTTTACCCTACTCAATGCACACAAGCGTTTAGGGATTCTACTGCAGCTCCTACTTTCCCGCTCACTATTGTAAATCTGTTCCGTTTGGCCTAAAATGATAATTTGCCGTTTTATAGGAAGTAACTCAGCGATTGCTGGCCAACATCAAGTTCAACGTCATTTTGCTGACACGTGAACCTCGTGGCATCACGAGCCAAGTGTTCGGAATTCAGTTGCATCAACACACACCCTCAACCTTTTTTCCGGTAACACGTTCTAGAGCCACACGTGAAATCACAATCACTGTAGAAGTGGTATAGTTTTTCGGTGGTATACGTAATACGGTACTTGTTGCGCACACTTCCAGTATATCATTTTAATATCACGCTCACCTCATGTTGCATTGTCATGTGGTCAATATTCCACACTGTGTGTGGTACAGCTGTCGTAATTCCTTTTTTAGAAACAAAAGATGCATGTGATCCTTCGGGGTGTTGCTTCATCCGGGTCTTTTCTCACACAACCTCAGACACTTAAAAATACGAAGAAACAAAGCGTTTTTCCAAAACGACTCCTAGCAGGGGCGTTCCTCTCATTGTTGATCGGTCGATCCAGTGTGGGGACGGAACAAAACCCAGTTGGAACGGGAACAGGTGCATTCCGAGCGAAATCCTATGTGTGAATTCGAACCGAAACAGTTCGGCTTTGCGAAGCCTCGTCACTTGCACTCTTCATGAAATCTCGGGAACATGGTTGTGCGTGCTCAGCTGTATGTTCATGCAGTACTCTCGCAGTATAATGAATAGGAAAAATATGGACAGTATCAGTCCTATAGAGACATGATCGCCTAATTCTGGGAATTGTCCGTTTGAACTTCGTACACCCCGTTCATAGCCATGCTTTCCTATTAGGGAGGAAGCCATAGTCGGATGATCGCTTGAGAGAAAGAAAAAGTATCCGAGACGGCTATGTACTTGGGATTATCTTAGGCTCAATCCGTGGTCAGCTTTAAACTCCATTCTGCTTGGATTCGTAACGGGCCAACACTCACAAAAACCTAAGGCTCCTAATGTGACCAAAAACTGGCAATCAATGGGTATGATATCCACGCATTGCATTCTACTTAATATATGTGCCGCGGATAAGCTTCGTGTCTGTGTCAATACCAACTTGAAGAGTCTCCCACTGAGGTTCCTTTAATGGAAGATACTGCTTTTGGACTCGTTTGTGAAGTTGTCCACTGTGTATTGTGTATCATCCTAGATGATTGATTCTAATCCGGCATCAGTGTACTGCCAAATTTACGCTAGTTGCGGTTTGTTAAATAGTCTGAGTTCCTGAAATCTTTTGCTTCATGTACATGAAGTGATGTTAGGTCTATTTCAGTCTGTTGACGATGGTACGTCCGTCTCAGTTGCCTCAACCCCAGGCTTCCTGCAGAAAACTGAGGTAGATGGAAGCAAATGTGATTGAAGTAGTGAATAGGGTAGTTACACTGAGATCACTGATCTCCAACCACGTGTTCCGTGGATTTTTGGTATTCCACTCTGGTCGGCAAAATACGAGAACTTGGCTGATAGCTTCCGTTAGGTGTTCGGTACTTCATTACCCAGTCACAGCCTGTCCAATCTATAAATTAGATCTTCTAGCATACCAGCTTCATCTTTTGAGTAACGGTACCGCAGTGCACCTAGACACCATTGTACAAATATCGGGTGTCTGAGACGTTCGATCATCTGCTGTCAACATCGTCATCTGCCTTCCACATGGATACTACACCACCGATGGGACTGCACTGTTTTGTACCATGTTCGTGCTGCCGGTTGGTAGATCAAGATCCCCGGATTTGCCTGCTGTATTTCACTATCATTACCACCATCATCAGACACACCAACATCAGTGATGGTTCACTGCCGTACAACCATAAATTTTGTCTGATTATGTTCACAGCCTTAAAAAACGTTCAGCTGTAGCACCCTTTCGGTACCTAAATGCCATCTCACTCGAAGGAAGCACGAGGGTTGGGATATTGCCAAGTTATTCAAGCCTAGACAGGGGTTCAAAGCCTTAGAACTAAGGGCAAAGAGTGCGTGAGGGGTGGAGACCTAGTGCTGGCCTATCACTGGCTTTCTGAGGTGCTTACACCTCCAGACGATCAATCAGACAATCTGGAAAGGAACTGACAGCACGAACGCCACTGACATCGGTCAGCCACAAGGTCTCCAAACAAACGCGTGAGGGGTCACGGGGACCCATCCTAGAAAGCGCAACGTACCGACAAAACGCAAACTCTTTGTAATTTCGTTTCACTCCCCTTTGCCAAGTCATACGTTGTTCACCACGAGGATCGCGCCATTCTGAAGGAGGCATGGAGAACAACACTCGTCTAGGCAGACGAAGTTTCTGCATGCGTAGCACATCGCCGAGCCACTGTACTTGATGGTAGTGGATGTTTTCCGCGACTGAACTACCCGCTTCACATCCTCGTTACAAATTCGTCGACACCATCCTACACTAGCAACGTTTCTGATGCATATTGGTCAAAAACCTGAAGACGCTTCACATCATCTTTCCGCACAGACCATGTTTCGCAACCATACAACAAAGCCCTTACACGATACACGCGACCCGGTGATGTACCGTTTTACGCCGCATTTGATGCAAGTTAGCAAACTTCATTCGGGTATTTGAGATTCTTGTTTTGACCTCATCAGACACTTCTCTCAAAGCTGATACAACTGCAGAGGTTTGCGAAGTTCTCCATAACCTTCAGTCCCTCCACTCGAATTATAAGGTGCATGTTTATAGACCGCAAAATCAGTGTTGACACAGGGACTGCAAGTTCTGAAACATGACTTTGCACTTTGAACGTATAAGATGCATACCAAAAGATGGTATTATGGTGGCCAGTGTATTCAACAGAGCTTCTGATTCGTCTTCAAAGATGAAAGTGTCGTTTGGACACACCAGATTAACAAGATCCTGTGTTTCCTCAGGTTTGTAGTTTCTGTTTCATTGAAATTTGAATAGAACTATAACAAGAACTTGTGGTTTGTTTCAGGGCAAACTGAACATGATATTATTAACGAAACAGGTATTGTGATCTCTTTAACATCTCAATGTCCCTTACAGTGGCATTGTGCCATAGGTATTTGTCACCAGTAGCGACATCAAACACGCTTTCCGAGGGGGATTGATACCTATCAACACCCTCACCCGAGCCTGCACTTTTCCGCTTATCCAAGGGACGTTTTTTCCCTTCACTCAACCTGCGAAATTCGTACAAAGACAAACATAATCACCAACCATCTCTCTTACAAAACATCACCCAATGATTTATCAAAGTGGATTCAGTGTCACTTAGTTTTCCACGTCGTCCTCACTTGATGCCGTCGAGTTGTCCACAGTGCTCCTCTCTCAGGTTTTTGTTTCACACAATTTTCTACACCAAACACCGATTGTAATGTGTCCACAGCTTCGTACTGGTAAGATCGATTCACCTAACCCCGCTTAGCCCAGTGCAATTCTCGAATGCACTCACTGGATGTGTTCTCATTTTTGTTCTATTTTTTTTCCTATACCACTATTATTTTCACTTATTTAATCACTGTGCTGCTTCGTCCTCTACGGTGTCTGAATTTTTTAACGCTTTTGTTCGTCCCCGTGCTGGTTGTTTTGCTCAACTCTATGCCTTTGTATTAGCATTGGATAGGTTCATCAACCTATATAGCATGTGTCTCGGCTCTGATCTGCTACGTATGTGGAAATCCGTATAAGTGTACTGCTACCGTATATCGGACCCTAGATTGGATTCCATCATCAAGTCAGGCCAAAAACAATTGCTTCGCTCAGAGCTTTTGTCTTCACTTGAACCGTTGATTCAAGTTCTCATCTACTTCATTCACGAAGGTTTGTTAAATCATCTAGTCCGAAAGGGACCTATACCTTTACTGGTGTGCGTTTTGATTTAATACACCTGCGCGGTGTTTTAGTTCCCTCACGCACCATCGAACCAGTTTTTCATGATAGAGCCCATCATCTATTTTTTTAAGGATGAGACTATCAACTAGTTTCTGGAGGAATTGGAATGACAATTGCTCAATACGTAGCTCGTATATACTCGAGGGAAACTTCACCTTACTGATCTTCACCAGATATAAACCAGCGCCACTACAGTTGGGCTCATAGTTCTGTAATAATTAAGGCTTTTTCGGGCTGACTGAAGGTGTTTCTGGGATCTATGGAATTTACATTCCCATTCCTCTACCTGGAACATACTGCCCTACAACAAGGCTTGGGAGCTGTGGATTCAAGTTGCTCTCAGTAGAGCTGATCAGTAATAGTGGACTTTTCCTCTCTGTTTGACGTTTCAAATGTTATGAATCTGACACCCATTTCTACATGCTTGAGAGTTCTTAAGAAAGATTCATCTTCCCAGGGTTTACATCAGTCCAGAACAACCATGGGCCTATCATTTGCAGATAAAGTCCTTGTTCGGAGGGCCATATTAAAGTTTTGATTTATTGTGACGACCGAATTGCTTTCAAGCCGCATATTTGTTTTTATGGTAAATCTGTTGTTTGTTTTGTTCCATATCATTCTGCATTTGATCCTGTTTGAAAATAACACTAACAATTAGCAGCAGACCTAGGATACCTCTGGGGATATCAATGTCCGTGAAATACCATTGAAGCAGATGGCGTGAGAATTTTCCGAGATTTTAAAGTCAGTCTTCTACTACCTGTAATCCACTGTCTCGTCTTCCCTTGGACCGTTCAATTGGTCATCTTCAGATATCTCCACGTAAAAATAAAATAGGAAGCCTAAATTCGATGGCAAACCAATGTCGGCAAACCGGTCAGCTGTCACACTCCGCGTAGTTGAAGATAACCCAACAGTTGAATTGGATTAACTTGACATAACCTGACATGATCGCCTCCTGGTCATGTACGTCGAGATTCCAAAGTGGATTAAACAAGACTGGGTTATCAGCATTTTTGTACTCACATTTGAATTGACAATTGGATTGGGACAAATCCGCTCACTGACTGATCTGTAATTGGAGCTATTTTCCGCCTAATCCGATATGGTGAGACTCAAAGGGGGCTTCGGGTATGGAATAATCCACTACAGGTTTGCCATTTGCGGTCCAAAGTTGCGCGAGCTGTGACTGACCAACGATACTGTGGTCCTTGCATTTAAAATCGTTTTCGGCTAAACAGTCACTCCTCTTAACTTGATCATCTAGGAATCTGGGGGTCATTCAGCTGGTTTACCAGTCACACAACTGGGCTCTTATCAAGTGATCAAGCTTACAAGAATTTGAAGAGCTCCCAATGTTGGCTGGGCACGCTGTACCAATCATCATTGAGCCCACGCATTATGGTATATTTTCAATCAAGGTTCAAGATCATTGGGTAGTATGCAACGCTTGTGCCGGTGGTAGGGCTAAACTTGGCCTTTGAACATCCCGACTCACCGTAGCTAAAAAAATACATCAGATGTGGCCCCGTTTCTTTATTTCCGACAAGAAGCAGTCATTATTGGAGAGTAACAGAGAGAAAATTTTCAAAACTCCCTGTCCGTTCTATTGACTCGATACTCAATCGTAGGTTCGGGACAAAGCGGGATGGGTCCTAGTTGGAAGGAGTACCACTTGTCGATGTTTATTAATGTTTTTACACCGGGGGAGGGAAAGCAGGTCGCTTCACTTTGTTTGTCTTTACCATAAACCTGTCAGGAGTTTTATCCCTTCAAATTTTATTATACTCTCAAACGGGGCTAAACACAGTTCAATCAAGTAGATTTCACGCGTTTCAAACTCTGTCGGGCTATCTGAGTGAAACTTTATTACCACTGACCTTTAAGATTTCTTAGTCGCGCCACTGACAGCAACAGATCCCTTTTTGTTCTGAAAATGCGTCTATCTTGGCCACTCATAACTTTTAACGTTTCTCATTTGTTTTCCTCCAGATATATTATAATCAACGGTCTACGCTTCCCGAAACCTGAACAGGTCGCTCTGCTTCGATTCAGTTTGAGCTTGGTTTGCTGTCCCAGTCTTGATTTTGTGGTTTCCATGGCTGGCTTGGGTCTTGCAAGCGCCATACTAAAGTAAGCTGGGTTCCCCACGGCCCTTGGTAACCATCAATTTGGCTGATCGTCTCGCCTAATCAATCATAATTTCTCATGCACTGAAGGTATTTTTGGTCACTTCCAATCAAGTCTGTGGAGCTCAACTGGAGGCACTTTCACGAGCTGATCGATTGGCTGTCGATTTCACCGGAAGCTCGAGCGAATCTACTTCCATGGGGCCAGTAAGTTGTTCTTCTGTTTTAGGTTGCTGATCGGTACTTATCCGACGCTTTTTTTCATTGTTTCACTACTTTATTTCCATTTCTGTATGGTTTTTGTCCAGCCGGTTTTCCTCTTCCTCTCAAAATTTTGTAATTCTACTTCATTTCGGTCTTATCGCCAATGTCGATAGAAATAATTTTCACGGGATTTAACGAATCCCACTCATTCTTTCTATCTCCGATCAGCTCACTTTTATGATCCAGCGATCATTCATATTTCGATATCCATAGATACTTAGGGCCTATGGTTCTTCCAAGAGGCTCTTTACTAAAGTCTTTTGTTTAAAATTTAGGCCGTCGGACGGACACAAAATGTTACATCCCTGTTTTTGCCGCGGATTTTTCAAGCTACCAGCTCCATCTTGGTTTTTATGCCTATTTCCGGAAGTAACTACCACGGCGAACGATTAGGTTGCAGGGTGCCTAACGTCTACAGGCCCGTTGGCGCGATCCTGTTTATCAAGTCCAAAATGGCACCCAGGGTTGATGAAGGTGATGACAGTGAGCTTGTACAGAGCTTCTACGGATGTCCACCATTCCTTTCGTAAAAGACCTTAAGTTTGGTCGCACGTGAATTTACGGCGGTACTTCCTCGGAATGGTTGAATTGAAGAAATTCTTTGAGATCGTTTGATTGCTCCGCGTCAGTGCACAGTGGGATACAGATGCGTGCATGGGTTTTCCAAATCCCAAAGCTTCAGACATTTGGTTATCTTTTTCTCCCCTTTTTGATGCTCTCCAAGCATTTCTTTTTTAGGGAGGAACCCTTTTTGGTTCCTTTAGGGACTGTTGATTACTGAATCGGAGTCGATTGTGAGAAGCGTTGCCTGAATCATCGAGTAGTTTGGTTAACATTCTCAACTCATCTTAATGTGTACAGAAATGAGCTACCATCGTCCTCACCAATTCGTTAGCATTGATCAACATTATTTTTATAAGCTAATCCACCTTGGAAGGATACATAAACCTGATTGGCGCTGCTCAGCTTCATGTAGTGGGAATCTCCCACAACAAGTCTGAACTACTGTACTACACAGATTCAGTGGTGATCACGTGCCGGTTGTCTGACATCACTGAACAATCTAAACCATATTTTTGTTTGAAGTTAACACATCTTTGCTGCAAATACATTTCCATCAGGGTTAGCTGGCCACACTTCTCTGGAACTCTACCCATGTAGGGCATTCTATTTCTCGTGATGCGAATAGCTTTGTGATCGCTGCCATCGAAGCATCCGCTCTAGACAGGCACATTCGTGTGCAGCAGCCCAATACTGTGGCACATTTGAAGCCCCTAAAGCCGTTTGATTGAAACAACAAAGCACATGCACTGTGGTACATTAACAGCTCATCATCATCTTCAGAGACAGCAGCATCAGTGGGCAGCCTCAGCATCTGCTGTCAACGCTCTCTGTGTTGTCTGTCGGTCTCGTGTTTAATTCAAGATGACCACTTGACTCAGTCTCGGCAGCGTCAAACCCACCGACCTGCGCAATCATGTTATCAGCCACCGTAACCATGTCACAATTTCTATTTCATTGTAAAAGAACACCTGGAGCATCACAGAAACTGTCGTCGGGGAGATTCAGAGCTACAGTCCATTGGGGCATAATCGGACATAATAAATACTGAGCTATGGGCTTCTCTTTCTCGAGATTCGCACGGACGTTACCAAACACCTAGAGGCGACTATCAACGGGTATCCGTAGTACAGACGCCTCCACTTGATGATTCAATGCAATACCCCCCTAACTTGTCCGGCTACAGCAGCCTCCACGTCACCAGAGTTGCGCAGCCGGAACCCAGAACAATGATACGAGGTAGTTCAATCACAGTGCCTGACGCACCAGTAGACTGTTCGGCATTGACTACTCTGTCATGAGAAAGTCTGTGTTTTAAGGTGACCCCTCCCCAGTCTTGCTCACTGGGTTAAAATGCTACACAGACCGCCACTTTACTGTAAAGTCCAGTCTCTTTGAGGCGTTTCAGGAGTTGCGGATACATATGATCCATTAAATACGTGCGCGCAGGAGCAGTAACTAACGGCCTGAAAAACAGAATCTCGGATAAAAGTGGTCAGCCTGCCATTTCCGTGGCAGGTGTATCTGTGTCATTCTACAATATCTGCGCCTTATTCAGTATGAATTAGATCAAATGGATGGTACGTTGTGTGGGTCACTTGTTTGGGTTGATTACTGGTCGAAAAATACTTTCAAGAGCATAATTTTTATACCAGCGTTTCAAACACCGTGGGTGGCCTTTCTTAGGAGCCAGTTCAAAAATTTATTCCGATTACTTTTTGCTCCTGTCAAAGGGTACCGGCAGTTTTCACAACGCAGCTGAGTAGCCTTGGGATATGAGGAAAATTCATCCACAAAACGGCTGAAAAATCCCATGGTTTTTGTCACTCCCATTTTTGACCAGGTGGACTGAGCGCTGTCGTTTCACGAGAAACCCGTCTAGGAAGCGTTTTGAAGTTAACTGTTTTTGCTAGCACCCCTCCCCCCGTACTTTATCAGCCAGAAACCAAACAGCGGTATTCTGAGTTGAGTTTGCTTTGCTTGTAAGGTAAAACGAAGTGGACTGAGTTCTTATTTCCAAAACAAACCAATTCAGTCATCTGTTACACTTGTGTTGTGAGAATGATGCAGTTTTCAGATGATCATTCCGCGGAGCCGTTTATCCATTGTCTACAACATTCTGATCCTGCATCTTGTCAGAGCAAGGTAGAACGGTCGAATGATCACTTATGTGTGCTCTGTATGCCTCGGTTGGGTGCGATACCCTGTACAAAACAGAAGTCATACACAAACGGTGGGATAAAGACTCGATTCATAAGCAATGGCTGGTTCACGTAAGGGAGTTCCTTGTTCCATATTCACAAGACATGCATCGTTGATCTCGCATAACTCAGTGTATTCCGCGATCTGTTGGTAAACCGTTCATCTAGTGTCTGCGATGGTCAAATCGGTGTGTATGTTCTAGCTGGAGGGGGAAATTTTCATGGCTTTGTTTTGTCAGGAGTTCCTCCCATACCCAATTTCCAACTAGTAATATCACCACTCATCATTGATGTTTTCTATAAAGGGAGAGTACTGTGTGAACTAAGACACTCACACAGCTTCCGCCTCCTACATCGAGAGTATCCTTCGGAGCCTATTTGGATAGGTTTTTTAAAGTGTGAGTCGGTGTTTTGCGGAGTTCGGCCCCTTCCAGATCCATCCAGTTGCACATCATTTGAAACATTTCCTTTAATGACCCATTTGGAATAATCCACTGAGGTTGTAAGCAAGGATATCTCATATTTCGCACAGGCGGTTCAGTTGATTACAGATTCTTTCGGTTTTATATCCCAGGAATGCCTATAGACTGACAAACTGTCTCCGTCTCTCTAATATTCGTTCATATTGTTGCAACAATGAAAACGTCGACTATACCCTTGCCTTTCTATCAATCCAAAGCGTAAGAACTTCTTGAAATATTCCTACGAGCTGTACGAAGCTCGCTTGTCGAATGATTGAGTTCGGGGGGACTTCAATAAGGTCGCCCCTAAAAGACACTTTTGGATAAAAGGTCATTCTCATCCGTAAAAGTGTTTCTAATCACCCTAGATCAGCTGGAAAGGATGTCCTAAAACGAAGTCGCATTATTCTTTTCCTCGTAATTAAGGTTGAAAGTGAATGCATTGTTGAGAGATCGGTTGTGCTAAACCGTCGAAGAACGTTGAACTTCGTACGGTGTTATTGATAAGAAAACATCACACCAGATAATCCTCTCCCCATTGATCACCAATCGCAAACTGTTCTAATTTCGAACTGGTAGACGACGAAGAAGTTGGCCTAACAGTGAGTGTTCAATTTGTTAGCGTCTTTGAATGAGCAGACCTATTCTCTACACTGTTGTGTGAACCGAATGTAACCCAGTTGCCACTCGATTCGGGTTCTTCTTTCGTATAGGCTTAATCCAGTTGCAAGCCTCTCATCCTACATCAACCTTGATTTAAAGAGCATGTTTTCTATTGGAGCGACCTTAGTTCGGAGGGACCAATAGACCATGCCTCATTCGTGGTTTCCCCATCCGCACCGCTCTATCGAATAGAAGAGGGTTGTTATACGGAGGCTGTTTGGATGAAGTGGTACTTTTCAATGTATACTGATGTTGATCCTACTAAAATGCTCTTTCATTTTTCTTCCTCCAGGCGGAATGTTGGCAGCCTCGTGGATTTGATTCGTGTTGTCAAAACGTGGGTTGCTTTCAGTTGTTACACTTGTCTTCTACGTGCTTATAGTCCTTTTGAGATATTCAATATGGGTTTACTATGTGAACTTTAACTATTAGTTGCCGGTTTATATACCTTTTTCGGAGTGACGAGAAGCATTTGTGAAGAACTTCATGAGTTATCCCACTTATAGAAAATTTCCATTCGAAAAGGATCAGTATAATGAAGAAATCATTTGCACAGAAAAAGCACTTAATACCTTAAGCTGGAAATTGAACTGTGAAGCACAAACGGAATAACATCTTTCTAAAACGAGATCTTTCTTACTTTACACCTCAGTTGAGATCCTTACCCTGGCATCAAACATCTGACGTAAGACGAATCTACATCTTCATAGAAAACGTGCTCAGTATATATAGTAGTCTGTAGTAGTTGATTGAGCTGACTGTCATACGGAAATGATGTGACCGGCGTGAGTTGACGCGTGACGTCAACTGATGTCCTAAACCGTTGTGGAAACGTTCACTGCCGAAATAAGGCGTTACTCCCCGGTAGGTATTTCAAACTTACTTTATTAGATAAAGCTGAAATTTATTGCGTGAGTCTTCTCACTTATTGATTAAAAGGAAGCGGTACCATGTTATAAGTGAACTTCAAGCTTCCACATTGCAAACGTGGAAGTGACGAGTAAGAGTTGAGACCTTTGCGGTAAATTTTATAACCCCGGAGGCACAAAGGCGATTCATCGAAAATACGTTTTTGTAGTGCCTCAGTCATATTCGCACCGTCATCCTCATCGGGGATAACTAATGCTTAACTCTTACACACTAGAACATTATCAATAAGGGCAGATGCGTCAGCAATCGAAGATTTTCCGTCATTCGTCGTGTCGTAAACATCAAGTGAGATGCTTAGGCTGATGTCATCACACCGTACCCCCCGGTAGTGCGTGATCACTTTTACTAGGATAACTCACGCTTGTCTGACCCGTAGGACACTATCAGGATGCTCAAGACTTAATCAAAGAGTACAGAAACAGTAGTAATCAGCATGGTATTACTAAAGAAAGTCCAACTTTCATGAGACACGCAGCCTGCCCCTGACCTGACAGACCAATAGAATTTATCCAATCCAATGGTTCTTAGCCTAGTTATTGACCACCAGGCGGCTCTTAGTAAAAAACAGTAAGCCTTGAACCATTCAACTGGTCCTTATATGTGTGATCTGTATGATTGGCATTGATCATCTCAGTTCTGCTGTCCTACCAAATTCACAAAGTGAATCTACATATTTGTTTGAGACAGGACTTTCAACGTCAGTAAGTAGCAGTACTAGAAAACAATGCAATCAGTTTAGCTCTACGCAGAGTTTGTAGTAGTGAAATTCAGGTGCTAATTTCAAAGCCTATAGCCCGGGTATGAGTTCCGTTTCGGTCATCAATGCTTATTTGAAATCCGTGTCAGCCAAGCACTAGTCCACAGAAAAAAGGCAGAATACAGAATCATCTATTGTCATGTGCACAATGTAAGGAAAATGGCAGCTGTGAATTGTCTGAAGCGTGGTACCTTGTCCATCTTTACGAACGTAGTATTAGTTTCGAATGTAGTGTTACAGATGAGGTCAATGCACGAATCTGCAAGGCCCCCATTGCGTCAAAGTCGTATATCCCTGAATCCCCAGGGACGTGTCCATCAGGCTACAGCATGTGCTGATTTGTTGTATGACCGTGAGGTGTGCCCTATGCAGGCAACGGAACTGAGGCGTCTTCAGGTGTTCGACAATAGCCGTCTCAGAACCTTAGAAAGTGTAGGTTGGTGTAGTAAAATCCTTAACGAGGCAAGTAGAAAGCGGGTTTTCGGTTGTGCAATGGGGACTTCCTCAGAGAATATATCCAGCACCAGAATATGCGTTGGTCAGGCTATGTGCTGCGCATGCCAAACCATCGTTCGCCCAAGCGTGCGTTGTTTTCCGTGCGTGGCAGAATCAGAGGGTCGGCCAACCTTTGACCTGGCAGAGGGGTTTGAAAGAGATTGGGAAGAGCCTGGGCGCTGTCGGTGCGACCCCTTTCAGGATTGGAATCGCTTGATTCACACTGTGCCTTGTTGGAGACGCTCATCATCATCATCATCATCGACAGCATGACATCGGTGTTTAACACCGATGCTTCACTGCCGTTGGAGACGCTACAAGACATGGGATGCCAATCGATGTTAATGGCGTTCTTGTTCTTAGTTTCCTTCGAGATTGTTTGGCGATGTAGGCACCAAGTCCCTTTGCCGTCCACTCTTATTCTATTCTTCACAATTAGGCTTTCAAATAAATCATGGTCTTAAAGCAGCGGCGCATCAGTGTATGAGTACTGATGTTATACCGTGATGACGATGACGGGTACGAGAACTGATTTCGTTCTGCGTTTCACCAAAACCTACCACAAAATACTAGTCCACCTTTTTGTTCTGTTATGAACGTTGTAGTTGATATATTTGGCAGCCAAACACCAACGTTTACTGCCGCTGTATTGTTCCGCCTGCTGTTAGTGAGAATGACGGTAATGATGATGATTTCAGTTATACACCACACAGGGTTACTGAAAACTGACAGTTCACGACCCGTTTCGCACTTGTGGTTCATCAGCCGGACGAAGTCCCCGAGTTTCCGCCAACTTTATGTTCTACTTGAACCCGAATTGCACGAAATACGACCAATACAGTCATCTACATACCAATTCAGTATTGCGATATCTCGAATGCCGTACCAGCTGTAACGCCATAAGCCCTCAGCTGTAGCACCCTTTCGGTGCCTAACTGCCATGGTACCAGAAGGAAGCACGAGGGCTACGATACTGTTAGGTTGCCAAAACCTAGCAGGGCAAGTCGAGAGGCAGAGGTCTTGTTCGAACCACGGACCTTCCGGTCAGTAAATTCGCGCTCTTACCACTGAGCTATCTTGCCCCAAAAACGCCATAAACAAGAAGCAGGGTTTTAGGTGAGCCTCCCGGAAAATCCAATTGGAATGCAGATGAGTGTCTCGGTACAACTGAAGTTATTCGCAAAGCATTAAAACCAGGACGCATGTGCTTCTTCTGACCAACAGTTTCGGGTTCCTTGAACGCTGCCATCTTTAGCAGAACGAGATTTTCAATGAAAAATCACACGAGAAGCTTGAAAAGAGGTAATTGAGGGGCCAGTGAATGTTGTCAGGTTTGTTCGTGTCCTGCGAGTTTAAACCAAATGAGGTTAACGCGAAACATTGTGGAAAATGTCACAGATTGGATACAGCGTGGGTGATGCGGTCATATAGTTGTGCAACTGTGCTCAGCCGGCGGAAGTCATTATTATGACGTAGCCACCAAACTACTGTCCATAGTAAGCAATGGAAAGCTATGCTAAATACGAAGCCGTACCATGCGAGACAACGCTAGCCCGGTCAACCTAGGTGACGGATCAACTTACCTAAACAATCGTACAAAGGTGAGCAAGAGGTACTGATAATGCAGTGCAACAGGACATCAGTGGAAATCACCTTACGGCGCTAGCCAGGTCAACCTAGGTGACGGATCAACCTACCCAAACAATCGTATAAGGGCGAGCAACACGTACTGATAATGCAGGACAACAGGACATCAGTGGAAATCACCGTACGTTCGTCATCAACTTGATCAAAGCCTGAAACAACGGCAAATTTCCACAACCGACGTGTGATGAATTATCAAGACAGGCGAAAACGTGTTGGGTTGCTAGCTACTAAGCGATCGCAAACGGGAGTCGTGACACGAATAAGCTAGAGAGCCACTTACTTAAATCATAGTTGTTGCTGTGAGTGTTAGTGTTTCAGTTTTGCCTTCTCGTGACTGACATTCACTGGGGCTATTGACTCCCTGTTCTGCTGATGTTCTGCGACTTGCTGAGCTACGGCGTACGGCACATTGGTTGGTATAGACCCAAAGGCCAACTAACGTGGCTGAACTACCCTATATTAACTGGTGATGTGGAGCGGTTTCGTGCACTCTATTGGTTCATCCTACTACCATGAACTTTTCTACCTTTTTCGGGTGGAATGATGAGTGTTTGGCATTGTAAGCCTTTGCACGTCATCCAGGGGTTAGTCTGTTCTCTAAGAAAAGTATTTTCGGATTTACTGCGGCCTACACATTTGCTGCAAACAGATATTGGTTAAAAAAACAATATTTGCACCTGAGTAGTCCCGTTTAATTGCGATTTTTTACAAGGTTGGATGGCCATGCGAGTTAGGAGTCACGTTCCAGCCAATTTCTAGTGCACTAGCACTTAGCGCATTTCACCTTTCTGGCTCGGAGCTTTCTGCTCTGAAACCGACGGAAATCTAATTGGACCATATCCACCCACTCTGTTCTTTTCGATATTCCAGCCTCCCATTTTATAACAATACTAGTATTTTTCTGATGTTCTATCAAGGTCCGTTTAATTGCGATTTTTTACAAGGTTGGATGGCCATGCGAGTTAGGAGTCACGTTCCAGCCAATTTCTAGTGCACTAGCACTTAGCGCATTTCACCTTTCTGGCTCGGAGCTTTCTGCTCTGAAACCGACGGAAATCTAATTGGACCATATCCACCCACTCTGTTCTTTTCGATATTCCAGCCTCCCATTTTATAACAATACTAGTATTTTTCTGATGTTCTATCAAGGTTCCAGGAAAGTGTCCGCCAATAACCAACATCCTGAAGCAGCTTAAATACACGTATCGTAAACTATCGCTTTCTCAGTAATTTAGTGCTCGAGATAGTCTGTTTTTACCTATAGATAGCTGTAGTTCTTCACATGATCCTTCTGTTGGCTTCATCCGCTTAGTTTATCCAAACTAATAAAGTGTTGAACAGCTGTCTATCTCTGGAACGATCATATGAAGGATTCCATCAAAAGTGGTTCGTCTTAATTCGGTGACTGTAGTCGCACTAGTCTTGCTTCATGATGGTGTCCTGAATGGGGGGACTTCGCACAGCCCCCATACCGCGATCTGCCATACTATCATTGCCCTCTTCGTTCGGTTACCTCAGCTACTCTGATGGGGCTTGCATCCAAGTCACTCGAAAACCTGTTCTTGCACTGTTTTATTTGTTCGTGTTACTACTCCATGTGGGGTACCCAATATGGAGCGGTCCTCGGGACCAACATCCACGTATTCCCCCATTCTGTTCATACATAGGACGGCTGTTAAACAATCCACCTGCTTCATTTATTCAGATTTTTCCCAGTCTCTTCGATCGAGGAAATATGGATGAAGTACCGGCACGAGATAACGAGTCGTATGCTCGAGTCATTCGACCGACCTGCTTCAAACAAATTCTACATGTTCACTCCTTTCCATCCGAATTCCTTCGATACAATCAAGTGAGTCGGAAGTTTGATCACGCACACCTGGCACACTTACGGATCCGCAGACATTCTTCCTCGCGTGTTGCCACGTTCTCTTTCACTGTGTTGCCGTTTGTGAGAAAATTATTGTACGCACTTTTCCAAAAATGCGTACCTGGATTCTCACGTTCATTTGATCGATTGAGTGTAGGCAAAATTCTCAACCAGCTGTTATTCCTTTAGCTTTTAGTGGTCTTTTTATAGGTAGCTGGATGTCAATATTGCAACCATGGCAACAATAGCCCCATGTGCCGCTATGTTTGTTGGTCAGATCAGAAAATGTGAGCCCCACTTGGCACTCCAATGCTTTTCCGTTTTCACCCCGTTCTGTTTGTTAGAATGGGCTTTGTTCATTTGGGTAATTATATATTACTTTGTTCGTTTTTGAGTGGCCCGAATGCACATCATGTCGAATCGAAGTTGTGGAATCTTTTTTACCCTAAAATTTGTACTGACTTCTCCTGCAATGTGATAGAGGAGGTTGATGCAAGGATATCTAAGGCTTACGTTATGTGTTATTGTCTGTACCCCAAGTGGCGGTTCACTTTGGCTGCGATAAATTCCGTTTTGTTATGTGGTTGTCAGATGTGGCGTCGACGAGCAACGGACACATCCAAGTCTTTGGTAGCTGTTGGTGTTCATAACAAAAACTTGCATAGGCTGAATTCGCAACAGAAGAATTATGAAACAGGTGCTCAGATGTACATAAGACACTCCAGTTTAAGAATCCGTCCGGTGCCGATAGCCGCGGCGACTTGGTCATATGCTACGCATGCCGATTCTTCAGCTGCCGAAAGAGTTCTGCTTAATTCAGAGTTGCATAAGTGTATCAGTTTTTACTTATTCTTACTGAGGTATGGTATTCAGGGCACAATCGGATCATAGATCCGTGAACTAAACCGTATCCTCGGTAGAGCTCGGAATTCCTCGAAAATACAAAATTCTCACACAGACTTTTGACTCTCCTCTTTTGGATCTTGGACCATTTATAACCAAAAAGTTTCTTTTCATTCCTTTGCTTCCACTATGATCCATTTTCTGACTTATTTTTAGTCGAACTTGGTTGCCAAGTGTCTTCGACTTCTGGTACCTCATACCAGATTTTGGTCCGCGGTTTCAAGTGAGTTTGACTTTTGGATTTGAGTTATGACACTTTATGCCTCTATTATCCGTGTCAGCTTTCCCCATTGTGACCCTGATTTTCCATTTCCCCAAGGACGTGATTCGGTTGTTCGCTCTTTTGGCACGCAATTGTCGTGGTTGTGTTGACTGGGAGCCTCATCTGGAACGCGTGTTCTGCGGTCTGCTACGATCCATGACACTCCCAAACGGTCCATCATCTTTTGCCGATGAACACGCAGCGACGAAACCGCTAGTATTTCATCATTATGCCACACTGCTGATCAATGCTATCGGTCCGGATCGTCCCGATTGTCCGTCCACTGTGATTCCTCGGTTGGAGAAATTCTACAAGGTTCGTACTCGTCTTACCTCTTTCCTATGGAGATGCAGTGCTGAGTTTGCTGATAATGGTGACTAGCCCTACATGGTTTGGGCGCTGGTTTTCCACTAACTTTGTTATCTTAGAGCTTCTGTGAGTTTCCGGAAGTCTTCCTGTCAAACCCTCGAACCACTTTTATTCTAAGGATGAGACAAGAAACAAGCACTGTGGTCCTCGAGCAATCTTCAACACAATATGCATTACGCATTAAGCTGAGTAATGTTCACTACGCTGAAGTGTCAGGATTCACCTGTTCTGATCGACACTTGAACTTCGCTGTCCGAACGAATTGTTTTCTGCACAAAGGTTAACTGAGCACCGTCGGATAGATACGGCCTCTACAACAGTCTAGTTCATGTAAACTTTGTGACTTGGTGCACTCCTTGAAAGGCTCCTATGTGAACGGTGTTGTTCGAATCGATTAAGTGTTTGGCATTTGAACTGAAATTCAAATTCATTTCAACAGGTTGACCTTTCTGGACAATGTCCACGGATTCTTTCAAACAGTTGCCTCAGTGTACTAACTACCCCGCGAAGTTGTCTTCAGTGATTCCAAAGTAAATGCTGACGTCCATGTAGGAAAATCAGCCTTAGATGGGCGTCACTATCTTGACGGCACAAACAACTATAAATCAAGTATGTGCCCCTTACCAGACTGAGATTGTGATTTCAGATTAACAGAGGTAACCTGGCAAAAAGGAGAAAACCACCTATTCTCTACCTACCGGGCGCGTAGTATAGCGACTGAGCTTCCGTGTACGCTTACCCTCTGGTACACTCAAGCAGTTGAACTTCGAAGCCTATTCACAATATCGCTGTCTGATATATGAATAAGTGATTCCAATCAGCATCATTGCTACACTCTCTCCTCTTATGTGATCTGCGCAATAATCGGAGCGTTGATACCAACATTATCATCCATGTTTTTCATATTAAATCATCCATAGAGTCACGATATAAAATTCATAGTTATCGCCCATATTTTACACTGCATAGCGATTTCGTACATTGGAATTTTTGGCCTAACAAATCGATGGCCATATCACGATAAACAGCCGGTTGAAAATTAACTTGTTGTTGACGAGTTTCCCGGAACAAAGTCTATCCGATAAGCCTTAAGAAGGGCCATATTAGTAGTAATGAGTTTAAAGACCAATGTGTGAGACTAATCAGCGTAGTGCTTACGACAAGGAAAACTTACATAACAAATGATCAGCGAGTAGCAACCACAGAAATTGATTTATGACAGTTCTGTACTTTGTGCCATTCCTCTAGGGCCAACAAATCCTAGTAAATAATTAAACCATCAACTATCTTCGTCGTAGGTTAGTGTGAGATCTGAATGAATATTACTAGGACGTGGCTAGCGCCTTATCGCCGGAAACCAGCACTGTCATCATCATCGTCATCATCATTGACAGCAACATTATTTACTAACACCGTTGCTTCGTTGCCGTACAACCATGTCAGTAGGTTGGTGCTGTGGGGAGATTTGGGAATTTCGGTGGAGACTTCGTCCTACAAGTGAAGCTAATCTATGCTTCAGTGCTTCTCAGCTTTTCAGCATAGATTGGCTCCACTTGCAGGAAGTAACCTCGATGTCACCTTTTTTAACAAAGCCTTATAGTGGAAAAAGCATGAAAATGGAGCTGGTGGTGGCCTACGGCTAGTGCACTACAAACGTCCAAAGCTGTTATGCGTCCAGCACTCAGTCAGACAATCTGGGTAGTAACCGACTGCATGAATGTCAATGATATCAGTTAGCCGCCATCTCTGTCACCGTCTCTAGCCAAGCACAGTTATGGTCCTGTGGATTCCATTCTGGAAGGTGAACAGGTGTCGTAACATCCTTTATTTCCTTTTGACATGCCAAATACATTCTCACGCATCCACAAAAAGCACATTATGTTCGCGAGTTCCTTGTACATGCGCTATTGTGCAAGCGTGTTGAAAAGAGCTAACGGGCCAGCGGAATCGAACGCACTGTTAAAGTAAAGGGCCTTGCGAGACTATAGGGCGCCCTACGCATACCGTTGCTCCAACACTTGATGGATGTGGTCCACACAACCATTTTCCGGCCGGAATCCTGCTTACTGTCCTTGGATTCCGTCTTCACGAGGTGACGGAGAATGAGCGACGCAAAGAGCCTGGTTACAACGGGACCAAGCTCTACGATTAACCTGCTTACTGCAACCATCCTTTTTGAAAATGGGCATCAATGCTGACTCCTTCCAGGTAGTTGAGATGGTCTCTTTCTCCCTGATAGAAGCTGAGGGTTTCACCTCCATCCTTGGACAGAGCAGCTGGAAGATCTTCTGGACCAGCAGCTCGGTGGCTCTTGAGCCAAAAAGGATTCTCTTATTTTCGATGTTACTATATTCTAGATCAGGAGAAACACGTGTCCGAGTGTCGAGTAGTTTTAGGGTGTTGCTGGCGATACAGTACTTTGTTCTAGTTAATTAAGTCATTACATAAGCGGAACGCTCATGTTGTGAGGATGCTGACCACCACTCTGTACTGTCGCTTATAAGAAAAAAATCGTTCAACTGTAACACTTTCGGTGCCTAGCTGCCGTGCCACCCGTGGGAAGCACGAGGACTGTAATACCGTCAGGCTGCCCAAGTCTAGACAGGGGAAGTCGAGAGGCAGAGGTCGGGTTCGAACCATGAACCTTCCGGTCAATAAATTCGCGCTCTAACCACTTGAGCCATCTCGCCCTCTGTCGCTTTGGACTGTGCGTGGCCACCTCACCAATTTGTTTTCGACTCGAATTTCGGAAACTCAAGCTAAGTTTATCGGGTCACAGCAGAAGCAGGCCCTTGGGAACCTGCACTAGGATGAGGAGTTGAGCACTCTCGGGGATAATTGCTTCACACAGAAAGTCGGCAGTTTCATGCAGTCACTGTACATCTGCTGAACGCATGTATCTGTGTTTTATATTTATCGTTCCCAAATGTTCAGCCAAGTTTAACAAGTCTTCGATGTGTCTAGATACTAGCCAATCACCGGGCTAATTTATATTGCAGTGACTGGGACTGAAATTGGTAGAAGAGATACCTCAGATTTGTATTTTGTCGAAAGTTGATAAAGCTCCAATATTGAGCGACCAGTTAGCTTATTATCTCTCTACATCTCGTCGGTCCACTCGTGTTAAAGATTCAGTTCAAGATAGGACACTCGTTCTTCTGCATCGATAATAGGATTCTTCCTTTTTCAAAGGCTGAAACTTTTGATTGTCATTTATAGTTGAATTCACTTTATCGATGTAAATCTTTCGATCCGCAGCCACAGAACCCGAGGCTTTGCGGGCTCAGAATGAAGACGTCCTTGGATTTCATCTCTCGTACTGCACTACCATGTTACTTGGTTAGTCCCACATTTACACGCAAACGGAATAGCATCCAACATTCGACTGTTCTTAGCCAGATGAAACCATAGGCTGTTGATTTATGTGCATGAAACATTCTGACTCTCAGTCATAATTTACGAATCGAACGTCCCTTTGAAAGCAAGTTTTGCGAATAGATGGAATTGGCCAGCTGAGCAAGCTGGTCGGCAAACCCTGGATCCTGAAGCAATCAAAGGGTCACGTGTTCCACCCTTCTCTGCTCACTCTTATGGGTCGCAATGGGAACTTATATGCTCGTATGAGTGAGCGTGAAAAGTGTGGTTGCACGGTTCGTAAACTGGGTTGGACTTATTATTATTCAGAATCGCAACTAACAAATTCGAGTAAACCGTTTATCGTGGGGTGCATTAGTCCGAAATGGCGGTAATCGACGCCAATCTGCTAGGCACTAGGTCACTTAGTGCACTTTATCCTGTAGCACAATCTTTCACGTTTCAAGCGACCTTCCATAACCAGTATTGTTCACTACGCGTGAAGTATATGACCGCTTCACTCCAACTCACACCAAAATTTGAAGGTTATCGTTCAGCCATGGCACCCATTCTTTTCGAAGCTGTTGTGTTATCCGTCCGAAGTGAAGTGTCGAGAACTGAGACACCGTCAGGTTGTCCAAGGTTGGACTTTGCAATCGAAAATCACTGCCAGATACAACGTTTGATGATTCAGTCATTGGCAGTTTTGTTTCGCCAATCTCGGACTGTCTGGTCCTCATTTTCTATCCCAGGCTTTTCGCTGCTCGTTTCTCAGCTTTCTTGTGTTGTTACTTTGCTGCAACTGAATTCCCATGCTTCTCCCATCATCTCAATTTCCGGAAAATCAAGTTACCAAAATTGTTAGTAACTTTTCTTTACCTGTGCGTTATGATCACTTCTTTCTCTCAAATTACTTTTCCATTAATGGGAGCATGCATTTCACGGGTACCTTCCTTCGTGAAGTTAAGTAGTGTCTTCACTTCATTTCTTTCGGCACTGTTATCTTACTTACACCTCTAGTTTGTTTGTTTTGCATCGGTACAAGCTTGGATACATTAGAATATTCTATTCTGTGCATTTTCCTCATTACTTGTTTTATTTTGTGTGTCGCTCCCCACAGGCCGTTACTCACTTCTGTCATCCGTCAAACACCAGCAAATCCGCCGCCTTTCTGATCCTGTTCACGCGCCGACTGGTCATGGCTCTCTACCAGCGACTGCGGAGTGAACTTTTCCCTCACCCAAAACAGGTGGCACATTTCGGTTCCCCACCTGCTGAAGTATGTCATTGCCATAGTAACTGTTCTGAGTGTTTTTTTGGCGGTAGTGCGGGCCATCAGATTCAATTGGCGCTTTTCTCTTATCTAAATATTCGAATGGTCAGGCATACTCAGGAATCGCTGTGTGATTGTATGGTTTGAGCTCAAGTAGTGAGGAGATGCAGCGTTCGTTGGAACGCAAAACTAGTTGAACGGAATCAACACCTATGTGCCAATTGACCAAATTTAGATTCTAGCCTCATCGAAAGCTTGCGGTTTGACCCAGGAACTTTCGCTTACACAGCCAGCATAGCTTCATTTTTACGCAGTAGGATCTTTTACAGTCAGATCGTTGACCCATAGTCTGGATTCACTGAGCGCTCAACGGAGAGCACGGGGAGTCATTCTGTCGGGTTGGCCTTGATCCCGTTTCTGACAAGCACTTTTGTAATGCAGATCTAACATCAATGCTGTTCAGCCGGTCGTGGCCGAACGTTTAAGTCGGAAGGTTGCGGGCTGGAAACTCACTGAGTACAGCCTGTGCGTTTCAGCATAAATTGGTTTCATTTAAGGGAAATTATTTCAGTAAATGTCCAGAGCTTGCCTTACCCGTACCCCTGTTATCGAAACAATTGACGCAAACTGGGTTGGACTAACCCAGATTCATGTTCGCATCTCCTCTTCATTGATCCCATAGGGAATTCAGTCTCCTTGTCATTGGTTTGGTTAGCAAATGCTGCTCGATAATTTTCTGCGTTCCGGCAACCAGCATTCAGCGGAGAGATGCTGTTGATGAAACAAACGCTGAGCATGTTCCTTGACTTACGTTTGAGTTTGACTACCGTGTTTGTATTGATTCACTTAGATTATTTGCATGTTTCCATGTAAAGTGGTTGTCTTCAGTGTTTCGGAATGCTAATGTATGTCCTCGATCCGGTACTCCAGTGAGTCGAATGCTCCTGTGGTGATTTGGGGACCTATCTGGTCTCATTAGAACTGACAAAAGACCTGTACTCTCTTCACTGGCGGACGTATTGCATACTAGTTTTATAAATAAAGAGTTGAATAAAACAATGAGACAATATTTCAAAACTGGCCAATCGACTACCTCACTGAACGCCTGAAATATTGTCACACCAGATAGCCTATCATTTTGGACTACAGACCTTAAAACATACCACAGTTGCTTCGTCATAAACTTCGACCGATCGTTTCAATCCGGGTCACTGCATTCTCCCTCTGCGCAGCTGCTTCAGACCATACCGCGGTCAGGCGCCGAACAGGTACAGTTTAAAGCAATGTGCGAATAGTTAGGATGTCAAGCGTGACAGTGGTATCACTCCATTCCATATGCTACTGCGCTATACGCTTATCTTGGTGACATAAGATCTTGAAAAGACAAAGTCCAACTTGAAAGATGTATGGTTAATGCTTATTCAATTCAGCAGCGGAGCTAATCAGAGTATCTGGATATCACGGCTCAGCTCATATTATTGTGCGGCGCATCAGTGAATGGGCTTTTTGCTTTACACTGCGTCCATATGGTCTCAAAGGAAGCGAAACAGTCTTGGTTTTTGGATGGCCCGTGTGATATAATTTCTACGCCTCAAGAACCTTAATTTAAAACTACGAGCCGCCTGTCGCAAAAGGCCCTCGGTTATGTAAATTAACTAAATAACCATGTCATGCCATAGTCCTCGTGGAAAATTGCATCCCACGCACACGTATATGCTTTTGGCAAACAGTCTGTTAGGGAACGGTTTATCTATTTTTTCATGTCAAGTTCGAGTTTTGCTCTGTTTAACCAAACACATCTTTGAACATGCTAAGTGAAAGTGATTTAGGTGCTTTAGAAAGTCGCTAAGTTTTTATCCAGCATTCCCCATTCGATACTTCGATACTTCGTCATCATCAGGTCCGATTCTATCTTAACTTTTCACCAGTTTTTACACGCACCCTAGTTTATGTGGCTGTTATAGTGAGTTGGGTTCAAGTAGAACATAAAGTTGACGGAAACTCAGGGACTGCGCCTATCTGATGAGCCCCAAGAAGGGCGAAACTGGTCGTGGGCTGTCGAAGAGTTTTCAGCAACCTTGTGAGTAGTTTCCTTTAAGTTAGGTTCTCTCAGATAGTGACCACTTGGAGGTAACGATCAAATGCGAGCTGTTTTTGGTACACCGTATTCCTAGTTGCTTGTGGAGTGATGCTCGTCATCTAGTGAGTCCGTACGGCCTTGTCATTCCTTTGAGAGTGACTGTCGTCTCTCCTCCTCTCTCAGAGGGGTTGGTGTGTTCTAGGGCTCCTTTCACTGAATGTTTGTATTCGCAAATTAAACAAAAGATAGTTCCTGAGTCTATCCTTATTGCTTTACCTATTCTCCAGTACAATCTTTCCGTGTCCCAAGTGGATCAACTGGTTGGCCTGTTGGTCCCTATAACCGTGGATTACATGCTGTTCAGCAACCTGGATTGTCACTTGTTGACTATCCTGCATTCTATTGATTTCTTGGCCCGCATGCGTCCTCGAGCTGTGATGCCAAAGCTTCTAGCTTGTTTGGAGGATGGATTGTCGAGACCGGAAGCGCCGTTGCGTTACTCCCGACCGTTGTCTGCTCTGATTCTCAGTGTGGCCAGCTTTTCACACGTCCGCTTTCCAGTCTTTCAGCATGGCTCAATGGGGAATACAGACGTCGAATCTCGGGAAGCGCACCAGGATGCATTCGCTGAACAACCAGAAGAACATGAGGAAGATGAACTCCAGGTTGGGGACAGTGAGGAATCCATCGAACCGGATACTAACTCCTCTGATGAAATGATCCGTGAGCCGGATTCAGGCGAAATGGTGAGTTCTTTCAACGGCTTCTTCCCCAACCTAATAAGGGTTAACCTTAGTTAATCAGATTAATACTTTGGAACTAACCTGCACATCTCCGTGCTCGCGACGATCCTTGGGGATTATGATAGACTGCCAAACGAGGCAAAAATGGATGAATAAAGTTGGGTCTCTATCTAAGTTTTACTTATCAGCTTAGTGCAGGATCATTCTGGACATTAGAAACTTCGATGACAATGGGTTCCACTTTTTAAAGTTTCTTTAACAAATTACGACGCTATAGGAAGAGACCTACTATCGTTTTGGGAACGGATTGAGTTCACGCATCGACTTGTAAGTATACTGTATTTTAATGGCAGACCACTTACTTTAGCGACGTTATCTGTTTCATGTATACTGATAAAATAGCATTAGCACAACAGATAGAAGATGGTTACATGTTCTTTAAATGAAACGGAGAAACCGTTGTATTCGGACAGACTGGGATCCCTCTACTAGGTAGTACCGAAGCTCAGTTTTGACCTTATCACAATTGAATATAAGAGTTTCCGAAACTCACTACCTTCTTGCTTGGTCTTTGGGGAAAATGGCAATATTTAATTGCGGGAATTGAAAAATCATCTAAAGCGTGGTCTGTCGCTGGAGCGACCGGAAACTCCGAAGAGGGACGATAGACCTGTGTCTAGAAGCTGGTATACCAGTTTTAATTCTCATGTAAGACACCATCCACATACACACATACGATGGATGTTGGGTGGTTCCTGAATGTTTATGAGCAACCCGACAGTTACTTGACCGGTACGCTCATTTGCATACCAATTTGGTTTTCACGAGAGACTCACCTTGCTGAATCTCCCGTTTATTATATTAGTTGCCTACGCTTTGTCCCCGCTTCCTTACTCGAGTGAACTTTCTCCCGAACACCCTAAGCAGATCATCAGCCAACCAAGGCATTTTTGTTTGGAACGACTGCAACGTCTATTCAGACGACTCTACTCACCAGTTGGCTCTATTTCACCTATCGTTTGGCTATAGTAAACCACTTCAGGATGTCATTGAATGCCGATCAACGGCAGTAGTCTCCTTTAGAGGCAACCCTCCAGTGTTCGCTGCCATCACCAACCTCAGCAAACCTGGGACAGGAAGGATCCTCAAAAGTGCCCGAATGAAGACCAATTACCTAAAACTTTGTAAAATCGAGCTGATGGGAAAATCGTCTTCATGTAGGTTTGTTCTCTGCGGAGATGCAGACTGTAGTTCGAAATGATCATTCGCCCAACTTCCCGATACTTGTCTATAGTGTTTCATCCTCTCCGAAGCATTGATAGCAAAAGTAGCCTTGGAACACCGGTGCTTCAACACCTCAATGAAAAAAAAACACTACTTACTCCTCTTCACACATCGTGTGCCTTCCGTGTCCACTTCCAAAAACCGCCCCAGTGAACGTGACCCTTTTCCAAATATCACTTAGTTCCATTCCCCTGAATTCTTCAACAGCTCATCGCCTATGTGTCATTTTTCCCCCGTTAATGAAACCCGATGGACAACGTCATTAAGAACCTGGATTAGGTGGAAAGCTTTTATGATGCCCGCATGTGAGCTACTGAATGGAGTTGCTGTGTGGCACTCACTGGTGCATATGCGCGCACACACACACACACACGAGGAGCCTGACAGTTAGAAGTGAATGCAATCTTAGTTGTTTAAAACATCAGTGCCATTCAAAAAACCGTTAGTCTGAGTAAGCCAAACACGCTTACTGTATTACGCTTTTAGTAACTGGAGGCCCAACAATCGCGTTCGGACCATGCGTGTGTTCCTCCCACAGCGCATGAAGATCGGTTGATTCAGGTTATCAAATCGCAATGATTAACTTGTCCATGTGTGTGAGTTGAATGTAAGACAACCCAGCTGGTAGTTTGATTCAATCTATGCTCGGCAAGTCCAGCGACCCTAAGTTCGTGGTAAAATGATTTTTTTTACCGGGACGTGTTGCGTGGACAGTGGAAATTTGTAGTCAGGGTCGTTGAGGCGGACAAAGAAAGCGTGCAGACATGACTGCTTGTCATTGCCCGTTCCGAGTCCTGAAAACAGGTCAGTATTCGTTAGGAAAGCCAATATGTGCCTACTGGATAGATTTATTTGGAGGAACCGTGGAGCTGTTGATAGGTATTGAGTTAGGACAACAGTTTCTATGACGAATGTATCCGGTCCAGCAGCATATGTTTAAAAATGAACAACGACTGCCGACAGAGAATTAGTGATGAGTTCTCCGTGAGTTCTCCGTCAGGGGTCCTTCTCTATGCTCCGGTGGCCTGTGGAGAAGCTATCTTAACTTGTGAGGGGTACTTACAGGACGGAATAACTGATCACCTTACCTATACTGTGCATAAAACAGCTTACATATAGGTGATCTGATGTACAGACTACTTTTTGACCGGTTTGCTTTGCAAAGATCGTCAGTTAATATTACATCAAACCTTTACAAGAATCCAACTGGAGCGGCTCCCTCGAACTATTACTTACCTTCTTAGATTCTATACAGTCGGTCGGTCCTCTTATCAGCTTACGATTTTCTTGGCTTTCCGACTCATTCAACCAGCTCGAATTAGTTTCCGTAGATTGCTTGCCTGATTTTTGCGTGCTTGCAAGACAATAACGACCCCATTGGCATCAGTGACAACAACCATTAAACCGTTTATTTCACTATCTGTTTTATATAGAACAACAGGAAGCGGCAATCTGCCGAATTCAAACCAACTATATCTCCTCCAGACAAAGCCCATTTGGCAGCATTCCTCTACCCAGAGGGTCGCTGTCAGCTTATGCGCTTGATGAACTCTCTGATAGCTGGTTTCGATCCCGACTACCCAGACCGCTTTGCTGCCACCATGGCCTGTTACAGTCGACTGTGTGAGTTTGTTTACCTTGAATTGATTGAATTGCTTCAATTCATGTCAATCTTATGTCTAATAGATGGTGTTCTGCTGCTTCCCTACCATCCAGTCATTTTTTCTAAAGACCTTAGACATAATACACTCAGTGGAAAGCTTTTGAGTTCCAGCTAGTGAGGGGCCGACCCATGAAAATAACGATCATATTCCACAACATGCATCAGCATGTTGTCGTTTTTAGCATCTCGTGTTTTGGATTTGGCTGAGTTTTCTGAGGCCAAACACCATCAGTATTATCATTACGATCACCACTATGTAGTTCATTAATAATAATGCAATAATAATGCAATAATGCGATGACATCAACCCAGTCTAACCCTTGGTGACCACACTGTAAAGCTTTTTGTTCCTTTTATGACCTCCGTCTGGGAATTCGCCAGTCAATTGCCTGTCGCTTCACTAATATTCACTAATATTTTTCGGCTCATAATTTTCCGAGTCTTCCGAAATAGTCTACATAGATTTGCATTCCAGTCGAACGGAACTAAAACGACAGCGACCAAAAGATCAGGTGGCTCGGCTTACTTGAGTGTCTTATTCTCACACATTAACGGCTAATTATTACAACAATCGTGCCTTAGTCTATTTACTCTGGATCATTTTTACACACTCGTCAGGAAGAACCTTCAACCTCCCACAACACTTGCAGCTGTTTTCGACACGGGAAATGTGTTATGAAGCGGGCTGTCACTGATGAAGTTTTGGTTTTTACCCCCCAGATTAACTGCGTTAGTGGTTTGCGACGAACAGAACGTCTCAAACTCGTTCCGCTCTGACGTTCATAATGACAGGTTTTATGGCCAGGGTGCCTTTCGGAGGCCTCTCTATTTCGCTTTTGATGCATCCGAAATGTGGATCTGTGTCAGCCTACTCACCGCCTTTGAGACAACAACAATAAGATGAATAACGTGCTGCATTTGTAAGGTCAAGTTCATTCTCCGGCTACTTGGCTCTGTTCGTGTTACAGTAACATATGTTCACGCTTGGTATCCTACACTACCTGAGCATCCTTCTTAACACAAGTGGCAGTCATCTCGAATCGCTTGCACTAATCGGTTGAAACTCAATAGTGACCCCAAAGTTTGTGCACTTCTCTAATTCACCGTCTCAGAACTCGCTCTTTTTCACAGTCCTTTCAGTGCCTATACAGGACTACCCAGTTTCCGCATCTGATGAACTCGAAGAAAGTGGTTTGGATCAGATGGAGGAGGTAGTGACAAACGTTTACGCCCGTATTCTTGAGCATTTACAGTTTGCAAACGACCGCTCTTGTGTGTCACACAATGTGAGTAATGGAGAGTCATCGATACGGACGGTTACCGGGGATGGAAGGTTCATACATCGTCCGCACACGGCTCCTGAAGGTCGCCCTCGTGTCCCAATGGAAAGTGCTATTTTGAGCAATCTGACTGGTTTGGCCGTGACGATGGCAATTTCAGCTGGTCCCAATCCCATATTTCGTCAGCGATTGTTACGGCTCTTAGTTGATGCCATTTTCGCAGCACAGTGGGAACCTGACACCGCTCGCTTGCTGGCTTGTCAACTATATTGGTTCTCTGTGAATTCCCGACAATCTGTCATCTCACTTCAAACCCTCAGGGACATTGAATCGCCAGAGACTTGTTCGGATACTGCTTTATTCGCTTTGGAACTGATTTGGCCTCGTTTTATGCAATTGGTTGAAGAAGTGGATTCCGGTTAGTGTGATCATTTGTTTTACACCCTGTGATCCCTTTTGTGCCAGTATGCTGCGCGTAGTGCTGTTGTAGCCTGTCAGTGGTTTTGTTGGAATTCGGATCAGGAACTAACGATCCACTGCCTCCTTCGTCAACTCTCCCTCCAACCCTTCACCACTTCTGAACCGACTGTTCAATGGTCTTCAGGGAGACATTGCTTCATAGGCCTGTACCGTCAGAATGTTAGGAAGCCTAGACGAAGTGAAGTACGCTAGAAGGAGGAGCGATTATATGTCTGTTCCTCAGCAAAAAGATCTGTGAAGAATTTTGTATTCCGTTTGGCTGCAACCAGACAATGGGAATGAATTCTCGGTGATGAGCATGTTATCGTGCTTTAACGCCATCAACTAATCACCTCACTTTCGTTTCTTATGCTAGTAAGCTTAAAGAAGGGTCGATGGATTCGTAGCACAATACACTCCCCAGCGTCCTAACAGTCTCAGTGTGAGATTCATTTGATGTTGTTTAGGTAGTAGCTTTTGAAGGCGTGTCCCGAGTGTCGGTTGTTTATTATGCCACATTCCGATGCCCCTTATTTGTTTCCTCATTCCTATCGGCACTTTGGAGCGCTATGGGCGTGTCTGTTTCTGTCTTCCCTTGCTGTAATTTAGTGGATCTCGCTTTGCCTATCATGGATTACATCTGCGCTAGAACGGGTGTTTTGCTAGCCTGCTGTCATGAATTCCTAGCGTATACTAAAAACATTTATCTCTGTCGATAGTATGAGGAGATTTCGATCGCGCTTTCTTCCTTCAGTGCCTGACTGATGTTTAGTCCTTATTGGGAATCACCAACAAGGCTCACTTCATGAAATAACTCAGTGGTTTGAGCGCGAATTTACTGACCGGAAGGTCCATTGTCCGAACCCTACCTCTGCCTCTCGACATCCCCTGTCTAGGCTTGGGCAGTCTAGCAATATCCCAGCCCTCGTCCTTCCTTCGGATGGCATGGCAGTTACGCACCGAAAGGGTGCTACAGCTGAATGATTTTATATTTGACTTCATTTCGTGGAATTCTAGAGCGTTTCCAACCGACCCCCGCCGGCAAGTAATTGGACAATAAACTGGTCAGCCACGAATGGTTGACTAGCAGTGTGATTAACTCTCGCCCAAACAGGAAATAGTACCACTGATCCTTCAATCACGGAATCCATATCACGCGTTGATTGGCCTCTCAAGTAACGGTTTCTCAGGTCGGACATCCAGGCAATTTGTGAATTATGGCAGTTACCACCGAAAGGGTGCTACAGCTGAATGATTTTATATTTGACTTCATTTCGTGGAATTCTAGAGCGTTTCCAACCGACCCCCGCCGGCAAGTAATTGGACAATAAACTGGTCAGCCACGAATGGTTGACTAGCAGTGTGATTAACTCTCGCCCAAACAGGAAATAGTACCACTGATCCTTCAATCACGGAATCCATATCACGCGTTGATTGGCCTCTCAAGTAACGGTTTCTCAGGTCGGACATCCAGGCAATTTGTGAATTATTCCTTCTCCTAAGCTATTGGTAGTGCCAGCAGGTTTGGGAATTTATTTTTACTTGACAGTTTGTTTAGGTATCTATTTAGTTTCGTTAAGGAAATTTCCAAACGGAGTAGGCGTTAACTTAATCCAGGGGTGGTAATGATAATATTTGTGTTGAAAGACGTGTATCACCACCTGGCTCTTTTGCCACACGCATTCGAATCCCACTTGAACACCAACTCGGTTCGTGGATGAATAGCACTTCTGGGGATACATCTGTGGAATGGATCCTGTAGTAGGTATTTTTAGGTTTATAATAACCATCCAACCCTAACTGCATCGTTCGGCATCGTTAACTGAACACTTATCATACCCGTGTTTCTTTTACTTTCATCCAATGCAGATCAGTTTTTCGTATACCGGGGACGAGTAGAACCGCGACTACTGGCACTGCTGTACATACTTCCTGGATCCTTTTCCGCCCTCCACCCGTCGAGATTGTTGGAACCGTCGTTCTTCCAGCGCTACCTCTTGCCGTTACTACACCTTCTGTCCAAGCTTTTGTATATGTCAACTGGGGTATCAGTGATTACCGCGAACATTGACTGGTGGTTAGATGAACCAAAGAATCACCACATGAAGGATCAGTCGGTCTGTCCGGCCTTGGCTGAGGCAGCTTCTGCTCTACTCGCCACTTTGCTACGTCGACTTACAACTTGCTCAATCGACCTTACAAACTTTGACTTAATGGCCACTGGATCTACCAGCAGCACTCCGGAAACACTATTCCTTACATCAAATTGGTGGACACCCTTCATCAGCTCACGCACCATGTTTGAACTGTCTCAGAATCTCCCGGCCGGGATCAACAACTTCAACTCTTCGAACCAGATCGCTCCTTTCTGGGTTGTTCCGTGTACAAGGCAAAGGGAGCTTGCAAAGCAGTTAGTCGAAATTTTCTTAGAACCGGTTATTCGCAAGCTAGGCGAAATAACGTCACGCCTATCTCCTGTCAGTGGCATCACCCACATGTCTGGTTTCGAACCCGGGCTATCTCTGTCCACTCAACGCGATCAGCTAAGTGCTTTACTAATTTGGTTGAACAACGTGCTTACTGGCATTGCAGATGACTTGGCGCCTCGCATGCCTGACTTTGCCGCACAGGAACAGGCTTATCTCACAAGTCAACCATTCTCACAGCCGGATGTCACAAGTGCCTTCGCCAACCTTCCATTCTTTGACTGTGTTCTCCCAGATGACACAGGAAAACCCACAGGTCTACGGGAGTTAGTGTTCACTCTTGGTCTCAATCTTTTGGACAAAATAGCCGAACTCTTTAGGCAAGCTGATGATAGTTTATCCTCGGAAGACATTGCACACCCTGAAAGCCACGAAGATATATACGACAGTGGTAAGTTTGTTGCTCACAATAAATGTCAGTCCACCTTGATTCGAGTTTTTTTTAGGTACTGTGAGTGTGTTACAAATCCGTTGCTGTTTACAGACTAAATCTTTGTGCTTGTACCCTATAAACGTTAATTCACAAGGCCAACTTCAACGTTGATCTTTCTCGTCTCGTGTGAGTATTTTTTCATCAGAATCACCGGCGTAGAAGACGAAAAAATGGTTTGAGAGGATTTCATCTCGACGTTATCCAGAAACAAGGGTGCTTGGATTGTTTGTCCTTTTCCAACGCATACATACTTTGTGTGACCTATTCGGTCAGTAAGTGACGAGCGCGCTCCAATTTTACACTAAATTAAGGGCTCTTGCGATTATTCTACGCAAGATGAATGACTCCAACGATTTGGCTGACCGAACACCTCAATTCTGAGGTTTCCCCCATTTCGCTTGTGTCCTGCGGACTACATCCAGGAAGCAATAACACCAAGGTCAGAAAATCACTTTATTGATCCAATTGGCTGTTTCTCACAAGGAGCGCTACATATCCGCATAGGTATGAACGATGAGCCCGTTATTGGAAGCATAGTTGACCAGTCTACCTCATCGCTTAGATACAACTTGGTGCTTGCAGCTAATGAATCACACTCAGGAGAAAGCCTGTAATCGTAGCAGTACTAGATGGGTTTGAATATGAACCCAGATAACCGTTCGGATAAAATCGTGGGCTTTCGTGTAGACCGCGCGAACCCAATCTTATAGTTCCTTGAAATCGGTCCATCCTCCCTCAATCCGGACATACTGTACACTCTTCCGCCAATAGAAAAAGTGGCTTTTCTGTTTTTCCACCTGAATGTAATGTTGAAAACAATTTATTCATTGAGACACTCCCGGAGTAGTTGAGCACGTTCCCATACTCTCAATAAGACTAAAGTTTGTAATGGCTCTGATAAGGATACAAGGCTATTAAATAATCGCGGTCGCTTTCATCTCAACATCGATCGAAAAACCAATTATGGCCGTCCATCATTTGTACGCACATAGAGTCTCGTTTAACGTTCCTCCGGGGATTTGGGCCACCACCTGGTCGCCTAGCGTCTGTTTTGGTCTTTCCACTCTAAACGGTGTGTAGTTTTTTTAATCACGGTCCCTGATGTAACTCAGGGTGGACCCAGCGCGTGGTAATCTAATCGACCACTTCGACCCGAATTACTGTGCGCTTTCTTATGCCGCGCAACTCTACTTCTTCAGTATTTAATGCCGAAATGAACCAAACTCACTGGCTCTTTCAGACTTGATTTTTATATCCTTCCGTACCCTGAAAAACAGTACGGGCTGAACTTGGATATGTAGGAGTTCTAACCAGCTTCTCTGAAAGAAACTACGCCGAGAGTCCTGAACAATCTGATGAGTTCCTCGACCTCTTGACCTTCGCCTTTACCCGTTATCTCACTCTCGGATCTCTCATCATCACCCGTTTGATGAAACTCACGTAGATATGGACTTGCTCTCGATCCTGGTATTTTCGAATGCGGTGGACTTTCCAGCATCGATTTCTCTGGTTCCGTTCATAGTCCATCTTATTGGCCCCTTTTGGCCGATTCGTGTCACGTACTGATCATAAATCGAATGAACATGGACAGGAATGCCCTTGTATCCATGCAGCNCTTTTGGCCGATTCGTGTCACGTACTGATCATAAATCGAATGAACATGGACAGGAATGCTCTTGTATCCATGCAGCACCGTAACTTAGAGGTTCAATTTCTCTAGCGTTACGGGATAGTCGTAAGCTTTCAGTGGAGCGGGAGCATTTAATCCAGAGCCGAATAGCTGCTCGATTGCCTGCGGTAACTTTCGACCCAAGTTCACGTGGATACTAGTGATTGACGGTCTATGCGGATTTCTAACAAATGGTGTTCACGCCGCCTCAGAAGGAAACTAACAGCCCACAAATTAGCCCTCAGTCCAAACCATTTTGGCAAATTTTGAGCATTCAAGAGCCCAAGCGTTCGAGTTATCGAAGCTGTATCAGGGTGTGCAAAGAACGCGGTCGTGAGTTGTATATCCGCTCAATATTAACTTCCCCTTGATTGACCTGTTTGCATCATCCTAACACATTGAACGCTTATTAGAGCACGTTCCACCGTCCGGTCTCTTTCTCACTATGTTTTTTGTTTTCTCCTTCCAGCTCCTACCGCGCCTGCGCAACCATCGAATAGTGTAGGACAGCTCCTGAATTTGTCCCAGATAGCTGATCTACTTTCCCTCATTCAGACCACAGGATTCAACTTAGGGTCTAATGAAAACTATCCCTGTTTACTCCGGACCTCAAGGGGCCCGGTTGGTTTGTACGGGAAGTCGCTTGGAGCTGCCGCTTGTCTGAGAACTGTTGAAAACAACTTGAAGGGGATTGTGCTCATCCCCGGAATTCAGCAATTGTGTGGCTCGCCTTGCGCCACAGATAGCCAGTTCTTTCCATTCTACTGTGGTAGTCGGTTGGAACTCCCTGTTAGAAAGGGTTGCTCGCTACTCACTTGGCTAGCGACTATTCAGCGACGTTACCTCCGGCTTCAGAGTAAACGCCTGCAGTATCCGCTGACGTTTGCTGCAGCGGGCCTCGCGGCACCGAACGGATGTGATGAATGCATGATACCTACCCCGTTAATTCGACGTTTGGTTCAAACGATGGGCGTTCTAGCGACCGCACCAAGGCGCAACGACATACGTCACTGTGTGTCTCACCAACTCACTTCTAACGTGTTACCTAAAGTGGCACAGGTAAGCCAACTGTTTCTTGTCCAGGTACATCGGAAATATCTTAAATGTTGACGCGAAATCCTCAAGTTACATGTAGCCTTGTAAACAAATGTTCCAATGCTATTGAGAAAGGAAATAACCTTCACTCAGGAAGCGTCTCTGATATGTTCTACTTGAGTCGTTCAGTTCAAAGACCGAGTCAGCATTACTTTTTCAGTGGTCCAGTTAAGTTTGTTCGTCCAAGACAACCCAAGAACCATCCTTCATGCACCGCAAAACACTTCTGTGCTCGTTGCGAAACTCCTTTTGAACGTCTCCAGCTGCCTGGCCCAAGTGGTTGGAGCGCGAATTTACTGACCGGAAGGTTCGTGGTTCGAACCCGACCTCTGCTACTCGACTTCCCCTGTCTAGGCCTGGGCGACCTGGCAGTATCCCAGCCCTCGTGCTTCCTCTGGGTGGCATGGCAGCCAGGCACCGGAAGGGTGTTACAGCTGCACGATTATATTTTTTTATTTATTGTACTAATTATTGTCACCTGTCCATTTACGATGATATTGAATGCTATCTTTCGACTTCAGAGAGTGCAGCGTAGCTAGGGTTTCCCTCCCTGTTTGTCCACGTAATCTGTTCTGAAAACACTCGTTCACAGTTCAGGGTGAACCCCTTTGAGGGGAGACTCTTTCTTCTTCGGACATCCACTGGGCAATTCGTTCTCTACTGGTACACGTCAGTCAGCTAATGCAATTTGGATTGACAAGACTGTGCCTCCAAATGATGCTGAGTTCCCCCTATATAACAGTTAACGTGAATGCGGCATTTAGAGTGGCCGGGCCTTGTGCTTCATCACACCAGCATCCCCACTCCCGCGATGAAGGCTAATTATGAAAGCTATCCATCTCTATCGCCTGGAAAGCATGCAAATTAGGCTGCTTGAGAAAGCAGCCTGAATAGGGGAACGTGTCCTGGAAAAAGAAGTCGTACAGAGGAACCAAGCTACTCTGAAATGATACAAAATTCCGCTCGAAATCTGCGATGGAGCCCTGCATTAAGCATTATGAGAGCATCAGTACACATCCATATTTTTGGTTACTTGAAAAACCCTTAGCCTGTCTCCCAAGTTGGAAACTTCCTCTTCTGAATTCCACGTCTGATCTATTTAAAGGTCGCGCCATGCATGGAATATCAATACATTCCTTCCTCTAATTAAATACTCTCTGTAACAACTTCCTAATACAACCCATGGGGCTTTGCACGGCCACCTCAGAGTTGAACCACTCCGACCCTCCATGATACAAACACCGCGCTATTGTGACAGAATCCGTTTTCAATTCCCGAAGTCATAATGGAGAAGTATTGTACTTAGGACCATAGATTGAACGGCAAAATGTGACTGGATCGCAGCATTACCTAGCATTATTTATTGGTCATACGCATAACCATATAATGATGGTATTCATCGATTTGTAAACGATCCTCTTTGGTTTTCATAAGACTTAAAACTTGTGAAAGTCGGACACGTACTATTAGCCAATAATGCACGCTGGTTGGTCGCAACTCGTGTATGTATTTCTACGTTAGTATTGGGGCTTCAGCATGTATCTGATTAGTTACTTCACCGAAGGAATTCTAAGTCCATGTCATGCTACACAACACAACAACAACCTTTGAACATACCAAGGTATGTTCAGTCTCAAGCTCCGGTGCACTTTCTGGCAATGCAGCCTAACCACTCTGCCGCTCAAGGTCATGTCGCAGTTAACTACCTGATCGATGCACTGTAAGGTGAAAGAAATCTCTCCTACCCCTCCATCTGAACTAGCTTTGTTTTCGCCTCTCGTCTCATAGTAGCACACATCAGCCCATATCTCCCATAGAGTCCAAATGGTTAGCTATGTGTTGGATGACCTCTAGCCTTGCTGAGACGCGGATTTTAATACCTGACTTACCTTAATCGCACCACTTTTATTACGCTTATTCTCACTTATGATCTGTACAGGCCGGAAAATGAGTGCTGTAGAACACGTATGCTCGGCCTTTCCGTATAGGATTGGCTTCAGTTGGGAACGTGTGCTCGCCTAGCGGTGCCACGTGCATTATCGGACCTGAAAATCCCAACATTCGACAACTGTACGGTTTGTTGCTGAAATCTACCGCTGGTCATTGTGTGCACCAGCATGACTTCGTCTGTTTTAGTGAGCTAGTGTTCAACAAAAGTAGACCCGGAGGCATAAACCTTGGGAAGGCGCCTGATAGGCACTCAGGCTCCATCGATTGGTCTCAGCTGTTCCACTGCTGACGGAGCCCAACTTGTAACATTGATCGAAAGATCAATGCGTACGGTTTTGATATTGAGTGACCTAGATAGACACTGACCGCCATTCGGCCTGACGCGATCCTCATTGGAGTGGTCAACTAGCTTAACCAGCTGCAGCCCGTTCTCATATGCATATTGGTCACGAAAATCCAGTGTGGATTTATGGTATGCACTACCAGAAGTACAACTACGCACCCACCTTACGACTGAGTCATCATCCAAGAGTTGATGAGAAAGACTTTTGGAATTGGGTAACCGACCCAATGCGGCACTATTTTCGTAACAGCTGTCCCTGTACTACCCCCATATATGCAACAGTGGCAATAGATCAGTTGATCTAGAACTACATTTCTCTAGATTTATAACAGCGGCTGAAGACGAAGGAGGGATAATTATGTTCGTGATGAGTAGAAGAGCAGTTCGGGAACGTAAACATATGTAATCGTTCATTGTCGTAGAATCTGTGAGCAGCCAACCGACTTAACACTGTTGCAATTTTCGAAATGCGCTCAACGAGGTTGTCATTTTCTGTCTATTGATATTCTCCTGAAAAGACCCCATGCGATACATACTCATCTTACGATTGTCATCAGCGTACCAACTCCCAACTCGCATGGTATTGGGACATTTTCCATGCGATAATACTCAACCTAACATCGTCATCAGCGTACCAACTCCCAACTCGCATGGTATTGGGACATTTTCAGCCGAGTTTCCCAGCTTAGCGAACGGATTAGACAATCAAAATGGACTGTTTTAAATAGAATTTTCGTCGCGCTCGATGTTGCTTACTATCCTAACCGAACTCAACTGAACTTATTTTCCTAGGTCACTGCCGAACTGGCGTCTGCGATGGTTGATCGTTTAGAGGACGCCGTTGCTGATGTGGAACAACAGGCGGCCGATGCTCACTTGTTGCCCGGGTCGAATGAAAGTGTGGTTGCTCGGTTAAGGGAAGCGAAGTTCAAGTTGGTAACACACCGCCGTCGAACATGTATCAAGCTGTTGTCAGATTTGTTTCACAAAATTTCGCAGACACATCAGGACGATGAATTTGTTCGTCTGGATCCATCAATACCGGCGCGTATGTGGGTAGCGATTTCCGCCCAAGCTATTCATACTTCACAAGCTGAAGAAGATCCATCCACAAATCAAACTCTCACTCCCGCTGAACGTCGGTATCGACGTACTGCCCAAGATCAATTGGAAAAACTCGTCTTAGAGGTTTATGGAAAAGCTTCTATATTCCCATTGAGGTTTCTGTTGCACTTTCCTACCCAGCGGGATCAAATTCCATCTTCCAGTTGGTTAGCAAGGGTTTATGACGAAGCTGAAAACCTACTAACCGCGTTCCACTCACCTCGGACAGCATCCCTGAGTCAAACAAATCCAGAGATTCTTCAAGTGGTTACAAAACGACGCATTGTTTGTCAGCGTTTTCTCTCTGATCTATTAGACCGATGTCTTTCAAAATGCGAAGCCATTCTAGTCAGCCGCGGTTCGGAGCCTACCCGAGGCACTGCAGGCCAGGCCCTGGTTGCCAGATTACTGTCACTTCTTCCTCGTCATGTCGACCCGCCTTTAACCCCGTCCTGGCTTCCCCATACTGTTTTGCTCGCTCCCCCTCCTCCGCCTCCTCCGTTGGATCTCCTGAGTACGGCTCTGCATTTGGTGCTCTCACATCAACCGGAAGTTGCTGAAGCTGCCTGTAATTACCTTCAAGACATGCTGTTTCTACTGCTTCTGCGCCACAGATCATGTCCGGTTGTTTTACGCGATCCTGCTCAGATAGCTGGACAAAAGTTGGGGACCTCAGTTTTACAGAATGATCCCCCTGTTCCATGTCCTCGGCCGGATAATATATTCCTCCTTTTCGACCCTGACGCTCGTATTTTGGCAACAGATGAGAGCTATCGAAATCATCACCACCTACCAACAGCAAACATCGGTTTTACGTAAGGCTTTTCTCTCAGTTCCATTCCATTTTGTCCAACATGATTTCTGCCTGCCTTCCTTATTTATTGAAAACATGATCATGGTAAACAAACTCACTTATGTCCAAATAGTTGGTCTCATTATTGTAGTCCTTTCTGACTTCCACTTTGAATTTATGCTGAGTCTGATCTCCGGCTCCCTTTGGTCTCCATACGAGCCATCTGAACACAATTCAAATTTTTTGTGGCCCCCAGACAAGTTTATCAACACTGAGATGGTGTATGTTGACTACCGCCTAACTGAAACACTTGTGTGTGGTTCGTCACTTCAAGTCCCTAAGCAAGGCTGTCGTTCTCATGTCCAAACATTGAAGAAACAATGACAGTCTAAAATTCCTGTAATGTCATGCTCCGTATTTCGTGTTGGGATCTATGAGCCCTCGTTTCCAAAGTTAGAACAGCTCGCTGCTACTGCATGACAGTATCCGTAAAGCTTGTAGCATCAACCGCCTCATTTCACATTGGACTGGTAAATCAGGGTCAGATTTTTAGCCCTTGAGGGGTTGGTAATACCGTTGTGTCCACCGGGTCGCACAAGCTATCCCACATCAGATAAAGAATCATTCCACCTCTTGATTTACGGATTTCTTTATGTGACTGTGATGTAGTTAGACAGAGGTACTATGCTAAATGGCATCTTGGATAGATTCCAGATGGCGTACTTCAACCAATATAGTCATGGCACTATTGTACTCCCACTAACTCTTCTAGACACATAGTTGTGATGGTTATATGAACTATAGAAGCCCGGCTCAGTTGGCTGCTGTGCGATTGCTTAAACTATAGCTTGTTCACATTCCGTGATGATAAACATATTCAGAAGACGTTCTTATTAATTTTTGGTGTACAAAAACTCTGCCTTATTCGACGCTTTTCATGTGGATTTCGCATTTGATCCTATAAAGGCTGATTTTCGTATGCATAACTTTTTTACTGGCCGTACTTTGTCATTAAGCTGCTGCTTCTATCTGTTTTCAGTTATCTTCCCACGGAGGTGTATTCCAAAGATCCCTTCTATGAACCAGCCTATCCAGTGTTTTCTCCAGATAATGGCGAGCTGGATGTAAGTAAGACAGATTGGCTCGACCATCTTGATACCACGGATGAGAATGGACAGCTGACTCGTGACTGTCTGTGTTTCTTGGCCCGCAACTTGGCTAGCCCGACTGCAGAGGTTAGACAGTTCTGGTTGACCCTGGCCGATCGTCTGTTGCACCTCCACCGACGGCCGAGCAAGCGTTTGTTCCCCATTTCAAGCTTTCTACGAGTTTGTGCCCTTAGCTTCGGTCCCAACCCTTTCGTCCACCACGCTGAGGCATTTTTCCATGCACTTCTACCTATTTGTCCCGAAGGACTGGTGCGCAAGTTTGACGGACTGACAGAGGTCGTTGGCCCAGCTTGGTTTCGTCACGGCTTGGTGGAATTCACCATCGGAACTTTGAATTGGCCTCGTACTTGGCGATACTACTACCTGGGACGCGTCTTGCCGCGACTGGTGGCTACATACGAACGGAATGCACTGTCCGTAACAACTGTTGGGCTTGCGCAAAGTGCTGCTGGTCAGGTTCATCCAGCGTTATTGGATGACATTGGAGCGTCTTTATCCTATGCTTCCAGTTATAGTGGTGTGGGTAGTTGCGAACAAGGTAAGACACCGTTTTTCATCATTTCGAATTTACACAGGCGCTCACCATTCCCCTTTTGTTAACTTAGTTATGCCGTGAGAATTTTGATATGTGTTTTGCGTAAGCATAAAGGCGATTACTTAGGTAAAGTTAACGTTTTTCGAGGTTCCGAAACCGTTGCTCCCGGAATGCTCACTTGCTGTGACATGTTCTGCTTACCAGTTTGAAGGAAAAAGCGGACAACTTGGGCTAAATGGTCAAATTTTTTTAGCCGTTTCACAGCACTTTCTTCCTGTACATGGAAATAAGAACATACAGTAATTCACATCGGCAGTTTCTGTATTGTTGGCTGGATTTGCAATGTGTTGTTTGTGCTGGCACCAGTAGGGCTAGGTCAAGGACGGGTGCTAGTAGCTTGTTCCCTGTTGACGGACTGAACCGATCGAGTACTACTTCTAAGTCATTAGCAGTATGCGGCAACAGCCCTACAGCTTTTAAATTCAGTTTGGGTCGTACCCTGTGGTGTTCAACAAAAGCGGCTATGTAGGTTTTTTTCACAATTTTAATTTTTCATGTCAATGTCTCTTGTAGATAAGCTATCAATCTGTTCGACCATGACATTTCTCCCCTTGATAGTAGTCTGTGCTTTTCAATTTTGATCCAAACCGGTACAACAATTTCGTTGCTATGACATTATCGAGAATGCCTACTCCAGTCTTGTCACTTGTGGTTTCAAGCTAGCCTTTTGTTTCCATCTATCTCTGGAGCAGAGTTTGCACAATGACAAGACTGTGTGATGTGTTATTGCGATAGTTGGCGGAAGATTTCACTATCAACCCAACACTTTTAAACACCATGATCACAACGTGGTCAGAGCTCTCTGCTATATTCATTGCTCAAAGCAATGAATGAATGGGTGGTTGAATGAATGGCCCCATCGAAACACTGGTAAAGCGGGTAGTATGGGCTGATATGCCATCGCTCACAGAAGATGGTTGCAACACTTACAGTTCCCATGGGAAACTTGGAGAGATTTGGTAGCATCCTGAGAGAATATTAAACAATGGACCTGCACTCTTCTAAATTCATCTTCAATTCATAACCATCTATCCCGAAAAAAACCTAAATAGGCACAACTAACACTAAGGAATCTTTTCAACGTAGATCAATATATCTCTCTGTCTCACACTTGTTGCTTTTCAGAAGTTGATGTGTGCTGTGTCCGAGACATCCATACAGCATTCTACTAGGGCAATGCATCGGAAGATGCCTCAAAGCAGCTCAGTTCATCTACAGTTTGCTCTCTGGGTGCACTGGCAGTTCCCCGTGGTCTCATTTCGTGTGGCTATTGTGTTGAGTGTGATAGATGTATACGCTCTGCTTGACTGCACTCCAACGAACAGTAGACTTCATTCAGTCAGATTCCCTGAGTTGGGCAGAACCCAAACAAGCTGCAGCAGTGACACTATCAAAGACGCTTTTTGTGGATGGCAAAGCCCAGGGATATCACTATTTTTTGGCTGGTGATTTGGGAATTAGCTTAGGGGAAGAATACTTCCACAAGATAAATTAAAATTCCATCTGAGAATTCGTCACCCGAGTAGCCGGTTACTACACGGTTACACGGTTCCCGTGATTGAAAGGTGAGCGGTGACACATCCCGTCTAGGTGAGGGCTAATTACACTGCTATTCAACCGCACGAGGCCGAACAGTTAAGTGTTCAGCCACTTGCCGGAAGGTTGCGCGGTCGGAATTTGTGGGATTTTCCATCGCAGATGATTCCCAATAAGGATGAGACCGCTGTAGAGTGCTCGGATTTTCTACATAGACTGGTCTTACTGACAGGACAAAAGCCCAATTGGAGATTTGAGAAGAGTCGAAATGTATGAGTGCCGTCCCAATGGAGGATTTCGCGTAGAGAACCGACCGCCCAGAGCGCTTGCTACAATCGTGCACTGATCGCCATCTATTTATCGTAGGCAGAGACCCAGCACAAACTTCAGCATCGCGTTACCTGGCACCCAACCATACCCAATGGGGCACTAGGATTGCTATAGGTAGAAAATTTGTATTCAAGACCGTCACTCTCTTTGAAACGCGTACGGAGTCAGATCATGCGGTAGTTTGTACCCGTACTGCAGCTTGTTTCCCAGCGACCAAGAGGAGGATCGTTCAATGCTATGACATTCGCAGTCTGCAAGATTCGGTCGTCAAAAGGGCTTATTAGTGTCAGCCATGTAGACAACTAACGAGCGCGTAACAAACTGGCCGATTATATGAAGACTATTTCGAAATCTGAATCGTGATCAATTGGGTCTTTTACTGTGTGCGCCCCAAAAGGAGGCTACAACCCAATTCAATTGGGGCCTCACATCGATCGAGGCGAGGAAGGTGGTTGCCCTGGGACCGCCGTACGATTCTGTGATACACCTGAAGTGACTCCTAATCGGGAGAAATGGTGGCTAAAGAAAACTCAGAAAATGGAGAGGCGGCAGCGATTGGATATGGTCGAACTCTTGCTCAACTTATCTGCAGAAAAGCGTCCCCACAGTGTTGTCACCACAGAGAGAGACGACTCGAAGGTCCATTCCAATTTCCTCTGTTCGCTTTCGTGGGCGGAACACCTCGAAAAACAATCTAGCCAGCATAAGATGTACAGTTAACAAATAATGAAACAATGATTTTGCAGTAGGACACTTATCAAACAAAAGATGAAGTCAAAAACGAAATCGAACTTTTGAAGCGAAACAAAGAACTTGGTGAAGGACTCGTTCAGTCTTACAAAACTCATGTGGAACATTTGTTAGACGAATAAAGTGCCCGAAGAATGGCGTATATCTGATTTCGTTCCTGTCCTCAAAAAGGCGCTATATCTGAATGTGAGTCATAGTGACATCAGTTTGGTCGCCATCGCTTCCAGGTTACCCTACACGGGCTTACTAGCACATGAGGGGCGGAATCGCGGAAACCACGAAGAGTTCTCTCCGGGCCGTCTCGAACGCCGTACACATGAATCGCAAATAATCGTTGTTTTCATATTTGGAAACAGCGTTGGTCTCCGTCCGTCGCGGTGCTTTGTGGCGATATCTTCTTCAACTGTATGCCGAACACTTTTGTCACATATCTATGATCATTGTGCTTCGATAGCAATGGGCGCGTGAAGTCCTACGGAGAGCATTGTCCGGAGTTCGTCGCCAAATGTTGTGTTCATCAGGACCGCCACCTGTCACTTTTCTTCTTCAACTTCGTAGTCGACTTACTCACCGAAGTTACGCTCGCTACGTCTTCTATCTCTGGTATCGAGCCTCTTCCACGGGAAGACCTTAAAGACTTGGGTATGCGCACGGTATTGCGATGTCGGGTTCAGCTCCCATCCAGCTACAAAACACATTGAATGATCTAAATGCTGGCATGCACGTCGCACCTTCAAAATGTAATGTATTATTACAAGATTGAACTTGTGCACCACCAAACCTGGACGTGGCATCAGAACTATTAGAAATGGACAGGTTTACTCGCCTGGATGGTTGCATCATGTCGATTGGCAACAATGCTGACAATATGGATGCTACATTTGCTAAAGCCCACTCTTTGCTTCAAATTAGGCACCCCTTGGGTCGGCTTGACATCAGCCTGTCTCTGAAAAGTGGGATCTACAACGCAGCGCTGATTCCATTGTTTCTTTGTGGTTGTGAAACCGCTGTCCGTCGATGACAAGAGAAAACTGTTTGTCTTCGACCATCGCTGCTTTCAAAACACTGCAGTTGTATCATGGAAACATCTGATTAGTGATACTAAAATGCGATGAATGAGTTTCGACGGCGAATCAGTTACTTGTCCGATTATGAGTGGGTTCAGCTGCCCCACCTATGCTGGCTCGGCCATGTGTTGCGTGTGCGAGATAACCAATCGCCTCGCTGTGGCAAATTCCAGCCCAATTGTGTTGGAAGTTGGACAGCGCATGACCTGGAGGCGAAGCATGAATGACCTAGTAAAAGGTCCTGGCAGTACTGGTGCATGTCATCTGCAAGATCAGGGTATCAGGGACCCACCACATCAATGGTTGGAGGTACTCACCCACATGATGATGCCACGCAACCATTGACGGCGTTGTATCTATCCTCCTGTTCCTAATCGTTAATTCCCTGCTCTTTTTCATCCTGTCTTTAACGCTTTTTGTGCCGCCTCTATTCTACACCACCAGCTGCCATAAGGCGCGGTGACCCGGACCCCCCACGCATTTTACAGTTGTCGAATTGAACTGAACTGGACAGTAGCCTTCTTCGGTAGAACGCTAGTTCGGACCGAAATAAGTATATTCAGCACACCAAAGGTTGTGCACCTTTTAATTACTTTATCATTTTTAGTTCAGGGAGCATTTAAACTGTATTACATTAACTACCCCTGGTTTAACGTGACGGACGGGTTACGGAATTCGAGTGTTTTACGAACGAATTGTCTTATTTAAAACTGCCTACTCCTGACTTATCGGATTCAGTCGCGATAAAGTGGCCAGAAATTCATAATGCAACTCAATGCAATTTTTGAGTATTTTGGAGGGTGACGCTAACAATTTACCGTCCAATTGACCAGCCCATAGCAATTTAGTAATACGCTCGCGTTTATTTGTTCATATCTCTATTGTTGGTCCCATTTGTACCACTTTATTCGCATTAACGTGCCTTTCATAAGGTCAGGTTTAATGGCACAAACCTGCTGTTTTCATTGTGTTGCTCAACTGTCTTTTAGGAGGTGGTTTTCCTCTGTGGTGTGGAACTAAGGCGAACTCTCTGTATTGGATATCTGAGGCTGGTTGCTCTCACATTTTTTATTGGACAAAAATATTGTTTGCAGCTCTCTCTGTATCCATGTACAATCGAATCCCCTTTGCAGGCCCTAGTTATCTTTCATGTTCGTGAACCCGACTGTGCTGTATTGCATGTTTCCTATAGAGCGTACACAACTATGTGTCGGCCTCATGTGTTCATTTCACACTTTTTTCAGCCAGTACTTTCCAATCGGATTTTAAACAAACGCCAGTCCAGGAGCATTCAAATGAAGTTCATCCCGCCCTTGATCCTCATGATACCGTCTCCCAATCTCAGGCTGGTGGGCCACTCGATCGTCTAGCGTTTTTTTCACCCATTCTCTTCTCTTGCCTTTGTCACTTCGAAGGCCTGGATATCAGCACTTTGCATCCGTTGTGGGACTGGATTCAAAGCGGGGTAATGGACTGTGCTCGAAAGTTGAACGGATTCACGGTTCCAACGAACTCGGAGGCGACGTGTGGTCACAGTCCGGTTGTCAAGGCACCGATGGAGTCAGCCGTTCAGTCAAAGGACGAGTGCCCCATATGTATGCTGAATCGATGCATGCCATTAGCACATCGTCGTGTGTTCTACGCACATCTCTGTGTAACTTTCATCATTTGTTTGGGGTGGAAAGCTTCCAAGCTGTTCCCTTATCTCTCAACATGTCTCCCGTTCAAAGGTGACCCCAAAAACCATGACAGTGCATCTCAGGCTCAGCTAACCTGGTTTCAGAAGGCGTGCGACAATTCCGTGTGGATTCGCGATCTTGCAGCTGATATAGCGGTGTTCCGGGCTTCCGTCGCATGTGATGATATCTTTTACGCGCGTCGTGTTCCTATAAGCCTTTTGCCCTGCAAAAAAACCGAGAACTTGAACAATGTCCGCTCAAGGATAGAAACTTTGACCGAACTTCGTCTGTTTTGGTGGTCTGTTTGCTCTCAACTGGATGACGTGGAACCTATCGGTCATCAGTTCGTTTCAAATGTGGTGCGTTTTTTTGTTTCCGTGTTTGCTAGTCGTCTGATTTTTTTTCTCTCACTTATCAATTGGAGCATTAGACGGAATCAACCAGCCGAAGTAGCTCTGTGTTTAGAGCAGGAACTAGCTCAGCGGTCACGGCACGGACTTATGAATCGGAGTTCCGTGATGCGGACCCAGCTTCTGCGTCTCGAACGCTGTTGTCTAGGCTTAGATAAGTAAGGAGTATCTCAACCCTGGTGCTTCCCTTCGGTGATATGGCAGCGAAAGAGTGCTATAGCTGCATGATTGCATTTTTATCGGTCGTGGACAGTCCACTGATTGTTTGTCTTGAAAAACTGACAGACCATTGATTCCAATGGTCACCGCCGGTGGACCTTACGGATAAGATTATCCTTAGAATTCAATGGTAGTATTTTTGATGCTGCTCAGTTGTTTCCTGCTACACCGCAGGACGTATTTGGCTGATCAATACGGCAGTCGAACGAATGCCAGCCGTCATTTGTATTCAATTTCCTGGAGCCGGTTCATCCTCCCGCGGGAGTCGACTGCCTGAAAGCACAGTAAAATGTGAATCGACAGACTAGAATGTGAACTACCTTTCAGTCACTGGTAAAACCATTTCGGTCCCCTACTTCGCCTGTCCCTTTTGGGATTCACTGGGATTTCAGTATCCAGTTGAAATATTTTATATTTTTATTTTTTATATATATTATATTTTATTATATTATTATATATTAAAAACCTGATGAACCAGTCGTGGACTGTCGAAGAGTTTCCAGTAACCTTATGAGTAGTGTATTACGCGTATTCTTCGGGTTCACCATGATAGACTGCGTCAGCAGTGCTAACGATGATAATTCACTGCCGTACATTTTACGTGGGACCGTATACTGCCAGGAGCTCGTCGCGTAATGTAGTGTGTGGGTGTGTTGTATGTTCTCGATAATTAGGTATCCACATAAAACCCGAAATCAAGAGTTCATGTTTGTTGTGCCTCTATCCAGTGACCGATATATTAGGGGAGGCTTTGTGAACCTTGTCATTGTTCAAGTCAGCATAGCTCAGTGGGCCACAGGGTTGCGCAAGCAGTCGATATGATGCCGGCTCTCCTTGCAACGACAGTAGGCTCAACTGACTGTGCTGTAAACCACTACAGATGCATTTATCAGCTGACCTATTGCCGTTAAGGTTGAGGTCGACGCTTCACCTCTCGTAAGTTACACAGCGTTGATTGCGCCCCACCTATCATTACCGAAATCTAAACCAGTCAAACACACTATTCATTGCAATCGTTTGCTTCTTCAACCTTTTCCTGCAGTTCTTACCACACCTGATCCGAGACACACTCACTGTTCTTCGACTGAAAGGATATGAGTCGTCGAATAAGAGTTGCCCTCTCCCTTCCCTCGAGCCTCTGTATGCAGACTACTCTTGGCCGTATTCCGAGGGTGACCTGGTAAGTAAAGCATTTTTGTTTTGGGTACCGATTCACTGTTACATTCGCTGGCACCATGTAGCTGCTTTTGTTTGATGAAGTACCCACAGGCCCTGTATCCTTTTTACTATTATTTCTTGGTCCACATCAAGTGCGGTCATTTTCCGGTAAAGGACCTCATGTATCCTTACAAGGACCAAATTTCAGTTCTTCGACTCTCAAATCTTATTGGAGCAGATGATGACCCCCTTGTAGTGGCCACTGTCTACCAGGGTCGCCAATCGCACATTAAACGCTCTTCGTTCAGGGGAATGGGCATGTGCTAGTAATTTTGGCTTACCCTAGGAGTAACTATTTTATTTACTCTTACCGTTTTGCTCATATATCACTTTCACAGAACTGGTATGCCGTATCGCGTCGTATTCTCGGCGTTGAGTCATCTTTTCATCACTGTCCCGTGTCTGCTGACTGCTTATGACATGGATGATTTGACGCGTTGTGCTGCGATTTCCACCGCCTCTGCAAGACATTGTTGTTGAGACTCAGATTACCTGGCGTACAGTGGCTTGTCAGTTCCCTATTCGATCTGTCATGGAAAGCGCACCGTAGTCACAGGCTTTATTAAGACTGTAAAATTGGAGTTTCGCAAGTTGAATCACAGCTGCATTAGACCGGTTTTAATTATACTTGCGTTACGAAATTCGGTAGTATGTAATAGAGGGCACTCGGGTGGGGCAAGACAGTGGGCACATAGCGGGAGTGTCTAGACGGACAGAGAGCAAATGCCCTTTTATCGGTCTAATTTCTACATTAGCAAACCGAGAGGCGATTTTTGTGAACAACTAACATAGTTGCAAGTAAGCTATTTGAGGTCCTGAATCTATTCGTTAACGAACTACGGGAAATACCGATCTACCATCGTCATCCATGCGCAAACCTCAATGTCTGTCATTACCAGCTGACACGAGCTGTTGCTCTCAAAACGAGACCAGCTGTCGCTCGTCAGTTGAAAGCCGAACTCCTTTACCTATGTATGGTGCTTTAGTTTTTTTTCTCAACAGGAGGATTCTTTTCGAGAAATACACTCATTTGCAAATCAATTTGGTTTTCACGGGAGACTCAATTGAATCTCTCGTTTATGATGTCCTCCAGCTGAATGTGCTGCACACAGGCCGCCTCATGATTCATTTGGCACGATATTCGAGATATCGCAGTATATTTTCATAAAGGAGGATTCTTTAAAAAAAGACTCAAAAGGTTTTTAGTATATGACTTCAAAAATTTCCCCAAGTGCAAATTCGTTCATCCAGGTTTAAGCGCGCGATTACCTCGTGGAAACAAGTATCACCGATTGACTTTGGAAAATCTAACCGGGACATTCGGTGCAGATTGACGCACGCAGTAATGGCTTGTGTGGTTTGTGTACCAGAGGATCAACAGCATAGTAATGGCATGCAAGGTTAAAGCCAGTCGCAAAATATTCATTTGTTTATCTAAGTCTTCATTCACGCAGAGGTGTGCTTAATGATTTGCCTGAATACAAGGGGATAGTAACGTTTGAGTTATCTCGGTACCTTGGATAAGCACTTTTTTCAGGGATCTGACCAAAAGATGAGCCACACCAATGCGACGAATGATTCTGTGTGATTCAATGTGTCGCAGCGTCACATTGAGACCGGTTCCGAAAGTAATGTCGCTCTCAGGATCATTTAGAGTGCTTTACAATGTATACCACCATCAAATGTGACTTTGTTCATTCTTCTTTCTTATTACTTCACACTGTCCACCCAAGCTTGAGAAATCTGGTCGTGAGAAATGTGTGGAAGTGAGACCGTTAACCAACCGCCTTCGATGTATCTATGCCGCGGTACCCGCCCTGTTATCTTGGGCCTTTCCGGTGGCTCCTCTAATCCACTCGAATCAGGACCCCGACAACGCCAGTATGCTGCATTTTCTGATCGCCCTAACACCATTGCTGGCCGACGTTTGTTCTATGGGCAACTTATACAAACGTATATCCCACCAGTTGGCGATGGGCACTTTCGGATCTGCTGGATTCGCACGAACACCTAATGACGGCGTCGGTGATGAACATGTGGATGGTCTAGAGTCGGGTGCCGAGTTGCTACTTTCTCGTTTCTCACTGATTCCGTTATGTGGAAATGCTGAGCCAGAAATTGCAGTCAAAGCATGTTTGGATATCACGCACCACTTCCTGAAGCATTCATCCTGGAAAACGCGTGGTGTTGGACTTCTCCTTTTGCGGAACTTGGTGATAATGAATCTACCGTCTTTTTGGACGTTGGAACATCGAAATACCGAAAGTGGTTTGGATGCCGCCAGTTTTTTCCAGCGAATTCGACAGTCCTTCGTAAACCTGTTAGCTGATCCATGGGTTGAAGTGTGCCACCTAGCTATGTGTGCTTTAGCTGTCCTGATCCAGATGGGTGCGCTCAAGGTAACCGTTTTAAATGAGCTTTTCACCTGTATTAGCTTTCTGCAAAGTCTTCTGCTGGACGCTATTTGTCCGAAAATACACATAGACCGTTCATCATCGATATACATATGAAACTGGATTACACATTGCCACTGGGAGCACTACATGCATCGGGTCGTTCAGTTTGTTACATTTAAGAAGGCTATAAATCTTGCCCTGTTAAAGTGCGTGTGGCGTACGTCCATATGATTCAGCCCGTTATCTCGATATGGTTATTATGCGATTTCGCATTGCACCTCCAACCCGAGATTTCCCAGCTGTTGTTGTCTCGTAGCAACACACTTAACCTATACAACGTTTCCAAACTTTAAACCCCCAGTCATCGATCCTCTGAGCAGTGTTACGGGGTGAGTCCAGTTATCTAGGCGGGTACTGCTGCTGAAATCTATAGTGGATGGAGTTTGAATCTTCTCATGCTACCAGCCTGTTTTTCGCGAGCACTTGTTCACCAAAAGCATGGTTGGTCATCGAATCTGTCTGTGATAAATATATGGCTAATCTTCGGATCCGCAGCAGTTCGAGCACATAAACACAAGATAAAATAATATGTTTGCTTGCTTGACAATGCCAGTGACGCTTCGCTCTACACAGTATCGGTTTGATACGACCGAAAATGATGGAATGAACATAAGTGGTGAGATAGAGCACGGTACCACAAGCTGGAAGAACCGAACCATAGGATGGACCACTGTGGTATGTTTGTAGTCACGTAATTTTATAAAAACCGCCTACTTGGTGTGAGGAGGCCTTCAGTAAATATTCAGAGAAACAACCAGATGAATATTCAAATTCCTGCAGGGAAGTTCAGCCCACCTGCATCCTCATTCACATGATGAATGTCCTATGTGCGAAGAGAGACGATGAGACGGTGAAGAGAAACGCTCCTTTTTAAGAATCATACATTAAATGTCCAAACTCGGACCGAATGTTCTGATCTGCAGCAAACCTGTGTAGGGAGTTTGCATAGTGAGGATGAGGACCATACACTAGTCCCGTGTTCTCTTGATCCTCTGCATTCGCTTTTCGTGGATCAATGTATGTTGTGTTGACTGGTGTGTGTAGAGCACTTCTTGTTCCATGCAGTGACATTTTATTCGACATGTATCATGTTTGAATGGCACAAAATACGGTAATTTCCCCAAGAGAAACCTATCAGAAGGGGTACTCGGGTTAGCAATGTTGTGGAATGTAGGTAGCTCGGGTGCGCTGTTTGGTTGGTGGTCTGTTCGCCGAGCTTGGCAGTTGGATTGCAAACGTTTCATCACCAATCGAGGTGACATCGTCAGTGCAGGGTTGAGTGGGTGAATTCCTCCTCTTCTGCCTGTGATTATATAGCTTCTAAACAGTATCTGGTAGTTCTGGAAACGGTCGTCGTGTAGTTTGATTGGTCTCCCGTGAATCTCACGTGGTCTCAATCTCCTGTGTCTGGTTGGTTCGTTGGGTGCATTCAATTCGGCAGTTCTGTATGTGGTTGTCATGCTGTGATTCGGTCGTTTCCTTCTTGCTTTGTGGGTTTTGCTCATTTGATTGGCCTTCTGTTTTTCGTGATTGTCTTCCCTTGACCCAATTAGTCCGTTGGTTGCCGTTAGGTTTCTTAGCTCCGAGTCCCGTGACCGTGTGGTTCTTTCGCTCGTAACGGTTGATAGACTGGGTCAATGTCGATGTGTTTATTGATCGATTTTTGTGTGGAGTACCACACCTCGGCAAATTATCGCTCCCGTTTTGTTCTTGCGTGAGCGAGTACTTGAACATTGTCCTCGGGTATTCCACACCATGACACTTTTTATCCCTGGAAAGAATTCCCTCCAGACAGTCCACACGTTCATCTATATCGATGTTCCGTTTTGCTATCTTTTACCTAGTTCGAGGAGGAATGGGTGGAGGAACTCATTCGCAAAACGAAAACACCCTATTCGCGACGAAATTGGTCTAACCCGTCAACAGAAGATGTAACCACGTATCAGTCGGCTATACGTGAGCGACATGCTGGCGTCCTTGGTCTTGCGGCCTTTGTCCACGCTTACCCTTATACCACTCCAGAATTTCTACCCAGAATAATTACAGAACTGGCAGTTCACGTTCACGATCCACAACCAATTGAGAAAACAGTCCGGGATAGCCTATCTTCCTACTCACGAAGTCATCAGGATACATGGCATGAGCAAAAGCAGATGTTTACGGACGAACAATTGGAAGAATACCTCTCTGTGGTTTCAGCCGCAGCCTATTATATTTGATCACCATTTGAACCTGGTTACCGATGCATCTTGCCCTTCCCTCTATACACGTCACTATTTTGAATTAGCTTCTTTTGACTTGAGTTTTCACACATTCAGTCGAGAAGACGTTCGTTTTGCGTTACAAACTTACCATTTTCTTGAAAACGCTTACTTTTTCAGCACACGCTGACTGTGAAGAAAGCAGTGGGTAACTCTGATCTTGTTACTTGTTTGGCTTTTACGGGGACCGCGAAAAAATAGAGCGCGATCTGCTGCAGTATGTCCAAAGGGCTACCACGGTTCAATTCACAAATCCGTACTGCATACCCTGTCCTGTCAGTACGTTCTAGGAAATTCCCATTCTTTGACGTTTCCGGGACAGTTACAAGGCGAATCAATTTCGATTATTTCGAACAAGCAAATCGCCAGCTCAATAAGGGCGAGCGTCAATCGACCTGCAAACACCGTTGGGCCACATCGCCCTCCCGGCACCCAGATAGATAATTTCCACTTCAGCGGATTAGCGGCGCATCCCTCGTTATCGAATTATGTTTGGCGTCTCAAACCTAGAGTGTTCTGTCCAAACGTCCAACTACAGTGCCGATGGTGGCCTCATTTCTTTTCTGACCACCTGTCCTCCTCGGTTTTTGACTCAAAACATAACTAGGCCAGTTCTGGCCATGCGTAGAATCCTAGTCAATTCGTTTGGAGGTTCTTCTGAATCGTCCAGATTTAATGTATTGTGCGCACATATGGTGGGACGCCTAGGCGGATGTTAACTATTGCTGATTCAGCCAACTAGTTCGACTATCGTGGCCAATTTTTGTATGCATCACGTCCACTTCTAATATTGGTTTTAGCTTTGTTGATTACCACCTCTATGACCTTGTGCGCACATCATATTGCACAGAACGTTTTGTAGCTGGCACAAACCACAGTGGAACTTCTTTGTAAATGGAATTTCGCAGTGAGGTGCCCTTAGGTTAGTTCACCAAGTAGCCGGCTGCTCCTTTAGGTCGCCGTCGTGCCAACACCAATCCTTCTAGCTGCAACATACCCGCTCCATAAGACCTGACCACGTACAGTTAATTTTTTCTACGCATCGACAGCACCCAAAAACCGTTGGTGGGCCCACACAAGGGCCGTTTCCGGGGTATGGCCTTTATCACTGAACGGTTCGGGTGACGTGGTGTTGTCGGTATAAACCGACTTAAGCTAGTCTACCTCAGAGGACCTGACGCCTCAGAGCCCAGACCCATGTCCCCACCCGTGCCACAGTCAGCGGTCCCAGTTTCACCGGGTCGGCTTTCTGTGTACCCCATATCACCCAATCTAGTAGTTCTCGCCCTCAGCGCGCACCTGTTCTAGGCACCGTATCCACCGGCTTTTAGGGATTCTTTTTTGAATGATGTCTTTCTAAGCTGCTGGGTGATATGCTTTGTGTAACCTCCGGTGTCCATGTTCTCCATGCATTTGGCTGTTTTTAGTCTGTTTAGTCTCATCATTAATTCGAGTCTGCTAAAATCCAGGAGCCGCTGCATACCACCAAACGTAACCCTCCCTGGTACTAAAAGCTCTTGTCTGTTAACACGGCGAGGCTATTAACCACTTGTTCAGCTACTCACTGTTCTATTTTAAGCGTCGGTTTGTCCGGACGCACAGTCAAGAAGCCGGAGGAGACAACCCTATTGTGTCGTAGCACCTGGTGCCTGAGCACATGGGAGAAACGCGCCTGTCACACGGTGTCGTCAGGTTTGGCGGCCGATGCGCATTCAGCCTGTCCGTCCGGCATGGAAAAAACTGAAAATGCTAAGTAGTTCTCTACCGGCAGTAGTACCGTCCCAAGGACCTCACCGCCAAGGCCTGTGGGCTCAATAACCCCAGAGCCCGATTACCGTCTTCTCAGGCCTCTCAGTTTATCAATACGACTACTATTAGTAAGGACTATCTCCCTTTTTCTCCTACCGCCTGATCTTATCGAAGGTCGTCCACCTAATGAAGTTTTCTGAGGGGGGGGTCTTCAGTTTTGGGCGATCAACATCATGTCTGTTTTAACGTGCACCCTGACCGCAATAGCAACTTTCCACGCACGTGGAGAACTGCATTCTCACCGTCATTCCACGCTTTTTACAATCTTTTTCCAACTTAACGGTTGAATATATACACGTACCGCGGTCGTACTTCGCGTCATCTCTGGAACATTCGGCATATGCTATGGTCATATCATTAGCCGCAGTTAAGCCGATCGTCGAGCAACGTATAAACAACTCCTAAGGTCGCTATAAATATTCGTGGCTGGGCGACATTAAAATACGGAGGCAATGGCGCTTACACAAATCCTCTCAAGACAGTGAAAAAGCTTGGTGTGACAATACGAATAAAACATAGTGATCATAACAAATACATCATGCGAAGACTCTGACATAAATCACAACAGGTATCAGTGCCAGGAGACATAAAACAATCGCGATCCGAGCCCAGTTCGTTTTCACTGAAGCATTCTCGTTCGTTCCGACTGCAGCTGATCTCTGTTTCCCCTCTGCACGTAGACGAATCCCATCACTAGATGTTGTATGTTCTCCGGAAAAATCACCTTCAGGATTCCTAGTCATCGTAGTTCAGCTGTGGAAAGTCAGAGTTACTTTTCCTCAAAATGTATTGAGGCTAAATTGACGGATATATGGAAACAGTGGGCTTACGGTCTATATAAAGCGCCAACTTTTTGCGTAAAATCTTCCGAGTAATTGCATCTGAGTAATACATTCAAGACACATTTAAACTCAACCTTGAATTGGGGGTGGATTATAACCATACTCTTTCAACATAGACCGAATTTCATCGTCTGTTAGACCCTCCACACGGGCGAGAACCTCCATAGATTTGTACTGTGCACAGTGCGTAAGCTCAGTGGGTGATCTGATAGCAGGGCTTCACAACAATTTCTGTGGATAGAAAATGGCAAGAAACTTTGTGACTCTAAGCTCAGCAAGCAACCTTGTACATCACAAATAATTTTACAAGACCCAATAAAAATGGCAGGCTTCTTAAAATACAGTGATACCTCAGCGGGGAATACCGTCCCTGGTGTTCAGTTACTTACATGAACTGGCCGACGCTAGTGGCGTGCTGTACGGAGATTGCTATGTTTAGGGCTGCGTCTAACGTGTGAAAAGCCAGGTGCTTTTTGGTTGGACCATAACTGGATGGTAGCCGTCTTGGCGTGGTCGCCAAATATGAAGCCAGCACGCTGTGCAGACACCATTGGACAGTGATCCTTCGAGAGTAATGGTGCATATTAATATTCAGTTAATAGTACGCTGTGAGAAATCTTTTCGGGCTTCAGGTTGACAATTATCAGGATCGATTCCAGCACCACATTCCGATCAGAGGTTCGAGTTTGTGTTCGAATACATAGTCGTTTTCGGCGTCCACAACAGTAGACAGCGAGTTCCGGAAATTGACGAACTTGTGTGCTAGTCTGTGTCTCACACAGCTTGCAAGGACTCTGCTTACGGAGAGTGAAATGATGTCCTCTATGCTGATTATCTTCAAAACCGGCACCCTCTCGGTGCCTAACTACCATGCCACAAGAAGGAGGCACGCGGGCTGGGATACTGTCACGTTGCCCACGCCTAAACAAGGGGAGATGGAGCAGTGGGTTTGAACCAAGAACCTTCCGGTCAGTAAATTCGAGCTATAACCACTGGGCAATCTCGCCCCAGAGGGGAGAGAAAAAAGTGTATGAAAGAGAAAGGGAGACGTCAGCAGTGGCATGCTTTCGCCTTCGGCTCAAAAGTCTGACCGCAAGGCTGCGCTGTTTGGCGGGAAATGTAAGTGCATTTCAATCTTTACAGAACAAGTCACCATACCTGTCCCAACCCCAATCTGGAGGACCAGGAGCCTGTCTGTCATAGCTCTCACCACTAACCAACCTGGGATGAGAGACTGCGACTGTCCCGCGGACACCCCCAGTATATTTCATTGGGTCACCCAGGTACAAGAACCGCCACACCACGGTAAGATCCGGTCTCTTCGTGACGGTTACAAACGAGTGTCTGGACGGAGTCCACACAGATGCTGCAAAGGCCGTCTACTATTGATCCACGCCACCGGTAACTGTTGGCAGTGTAATCAATTTGGGCCCATGGCTGGCAGGTTACTGGAAGGCACCAACAAGTTAAACGCTTTTGCTTATTTTGGATAGTATAACTTGGTAAACGCAGTCTCAGGTCAACACAGAGCTGTAAGAGCCGTCCCTCACTGTCCATACATACAGAGTCCAGTGCCTGTTGATGCGCTAATTCTACCCACTAATGCATTCAAATTCACAAGTAGGCACAAGCGATTGATTTCGGTCTTGAATGTGAATTATCAGAATCCGATAATGTAGAGTAATACTGTCTCGTGTTACAAAAGGGTTTTTGTCTCTTAATTCTACGCCACTCACCAATGCTCTTGATGGTCCCTGAGACCTAGTCAGTGCCTGAATGATCTACGTGAGATTTTATGACAGTTGCTTGGGTGGCTATTCTACGGTAAGCTTCGGCCACCAATCTCGGTAAAATCCACTGAGAATTCGGTTGTGTTGAAATGCTCGGACAGGCGGTTTTTAGAACTGTAGCACAGGTCCTTTTAGATGCTGGGCATAAGCGGACACGAAAAACAGACAACGGTCAGCTTCCTCACGGACGTTACCAGACGAATCGCACCAGGGCGACTATCAAAATCTAGTCGAAGGGGCCCTCAGCCCGGACACAGACCCATGCACATGCTGTACAGTGACCTCTGGATCGCCAAAGGCAGGCAGCCAGAAATGAGGTGCGAATGGGGCAGTTAGTCAAACGACTGTGCTTGGGTCCTAGTTATTGCTTCGGATATGCAACATACATCAACTTCAAACGATTCCGGCGCACAAGCAAGAGTAACCCGCTGTCGCATATGCTTCAGTTTACTAGTGTTAAAAGTAGATATGCAAACCGCACATCAAGGCTTGAGGACTGAATTTAACATGCCTGAGGCTGTCGGCGTCAGCTGACGTGCAAATGTCATGGCCGAGACCGATGCGAGAAAAATGGGGTCGCCAGCCTTAACGAATGACCCTACAAGGAATGTCATTGATTGGGTGGGGGAGAAAGAGGGAAGAAATGTATGTGAAAGAGAAACAGGAGAGAGAAGCTGCGATCGACTGGGAAATCTGCGACCG